ATTAATTTAGTAATTATTTAGTGGTTGCCTATTGTGTGGCAAGTATTATTCTAGTCCATGGGAAAACAACGGTTAATGAGACAAATAAGATCCCAGCACTCATGAAGTTTGTCTTTAACTGGAGGAGCAGGGGAGAGAGACAGTTAATTCAGAGATAAATAAATAAACTAGATAAATTAAGAAGAATAAAGCAAAACAAATAGTGAGAGTAACTGGAACTGACTTTAGATTTGGTGGTCAGGGTGATGTTTTTGATGAGAAAAGTGAGCTGAGTGAGACATGAGAGAATCAGGAGCCAAGCACATGGATGTCCAGGAGAAGAAGGGTTTTGGCAGAAGGAAAAGCCGATGCAAAGTCCTGTGGGAGGAAAAATTTTGGTTTTTAGGAACAGATAAAACGCCCATGTGGCTGTAGTCTCAGAGAGGTGGGCAGAAGCCACATCATAGAAAGATTAGTAAACTTGAATTTCAGTTTAGTGCAATGGTGGATTTTAAAAGGGATGTGGTGATGTAACCACAGAACCAGCTCAAAATGGTCCTATCCTGTTTAACAAGAACACTGAGTTGCTCTTCAGAGACAGCAGACCAAAACCACATGTTATGCAGCTGAAGCATGGGCAGAGTAGAGAACTTTGATGTCCCGCTGCACCCAGAACCAAAGTCCCATGTTCCCTTCTCCCCCTGAAAACCTTAGGGGTCAAAAGACTGAGGCATATCTGGAACTTGAACACTGATGGCCTTTCAAAAGTGAAGGGTCCATTGTCCAGGAAGATCTAGTACTGATGCCTTTTACCATGAATGGCCAAGTTCCAAGGTCCTCCAATTAAAACTTGTCCTACTACCAGTTCTGCGTACCTGTTGTCCCTAACCCCTCAAAACCCCTTAACCTAGTCCAGCGAGCAAGATGGATTTGAGGCACCAGTAGACCTCCCATCTCCTCAGTTGGCACCTTCTTGATCAATAAACCTTCACTTATTTCAAGTTCTGAAGTTTTGACTTTTGGCTTTTTGAAGCATAGAGCATACAAACTTGGGTTCAGTAACAGTGACATGATGTGATTTGTGACCGCTGCATGGAAAATAAAGTACAGAGTACAAGATTGGATGCAGGAAAAATAGTGTGGAGGCTAATGTAGAAATCCTGATGAGAACGCCCAAACTATGGTGTTAACAGTAGATGGAAGGAGGTAGATGGATTCAGGGTACAGTTTGGAAGTAGGTTCAGCAATACCATTGAATCAGCTGAGGGGAGGGAGAGGAGAGAGAAATCAAAGATGGCTCCTATGGTGGCAACTGGGTGTTGCTATTTACTGAAATGGAAAAGGCTAAGGGAAATATATTAAGACTTCTATTTTAGACATATTTTGTTTGAGATGCAAACTAGTTATTCAACTGGAGAAAATAAGCAAATGGTTGAATATACGAGCAGAGTTCAAGGGAAAGGCCAGGGTCAGAGATATTTGAAAGTTTTGATGCATTTGAAAGATTAGATTCCAATGTTTATTCCATCCTCCTTCCTTGAGTATCCAGGATTGTAGAAGCTAGAAATTTAAAGTGCTGCAGTCTCCTCCCCTTCACTTCAGGACCACCCCAGCCAGCTCAGGGAGTCAGATTACAAATAACTAATAAGAATCCCTAGCTTGTTTTAAGCTTTGTTCTCATGAGTTCTCTGGTGGTAGCAGAGCAGCTTCAGCCTAAGTATAACCTGGCTACAAGCCACCTCTCAGTCCCCAAACCAAGACTTAAATTACTCAGGCTTCCAAAGGTTAAGATCTCAACTTCACAATCTCTTTTTAGCTTAAATCTCATGTAATTTTTCCTTGGGTATGAGAAAAGGATGAAAATACATATTTTAAATTACCAGCAAAAATGTAAGGAAATTCTGAACTTTGTAAAAACAGTATTAACCCTCCCCTCTTCTACATGTTTCTATGTTCTCTGTATTATGTGATGATGATAATTTTGTCTCTCTCCTAAATACTTTCATAGTGAAATGGGGTACAGAGCAAGATGTCCATGAAACAGTGATGTTCCCCCACAGCTCATGGTTGGGGGAAAGGGAGAAGCAGATGATACGGTTTAAGATACTTTTCATTACAATGGCAAGGTGATAATTGTGTCTTTCCTGAAGGGAGGCTGCGCTGCCACCCAGGTAAAAGGTCTATGTGATTTTCAGAATGTAGAGTGCCAAGTATGAGGTCATGGAGGAAGCCCCACATCAGCATTTAAAAATTAGGGTGGCCAGCCATGATGAGGGAGCCCTGCAGGAGGGAGCCATGCAGTTTGAAAGGGTGTAGAAGGGCCCCACCCCCACACCATCTGCCATGAGGTCTGATGTGAAAGGAGGTGCCATGCAATTTTGGATTAAGAGGTGGAGTAAAAAGCAGAGATCCATTGGGAAACCTCCCTGGAGAACACGGTGGCATGGCTGATGGAACTAGACATTGAGGGAATCTTCCTAAGCAAGTGCGGATTCATGGGAGATGCCTGGAAGGCTGAAAACTGTAACCGGGAAGGCTGAGCCACAGACTTCTGCTTTTCTGAAAGATGGTACCTCTGACTGGTGTATTCTGAAACTGGCCTGGTCTGGCAAAGTGGGGCAGGACTATGTATTTTAGGGTGTTTTAGAAGGAGTGGGACTTAACTATAGGAATCCGCCGTTATTTTCAATCTGTATAACCTGTAGATAAACCCCCTTGCTTTTTCACCAAACTCTTGCATTGGGAGTCACGCTTCTTGGCAGTGGGCAATCAGACCCCACAGCTGTTCCAGAGCAGCACAGGCTGTGTTCTGTAACGACAGCTGTGATGGTCTTGTCTGAAGTAGACAAAGGGTGCCTCTTGAGACACTTAGCTCCTGCCATCATAAAGATATTTCCTATCTTCCCTGTTCCCTTGAGCATCTCTCGTTCAATATAAAGTATTATGTGGTTCCCCTGGGATCTCAGAAGACTGTTCATTTTTTTTTTTTTTTGTAATTGTGGGAAAAATCCTCCCCCATAGTTTTAATTCAATAAAGTCTTGGAAAAGATTTTGAAAGTGTCACAGACTTAGAAAGGAGAGGAAAAAAATGTGTGAGCAGAAAAGGAATCAAAAGCACAGAAACTGGAATAAGAGGGAGCTTGGGACAAGGAGACAGAAGCCATATTTCCTTGACGTTGTACATCTGGTTGAAAAGTGAAGATGTTGGTCATAAGCAGATGTTTCTACAATACCAACCAATTTACCTTAATTAAACATTTCCCTTGAATATAATTTTGTTTAGTCTCTATACAACCATAGAAAAAGCAAAACAAAGGAGGTTAGAAGAATATTATTTAACATAAGTGAGATGAGGATTTTAAAAATGGATGGATAGAGGAAGATTGACCATAAGGAGCAGAAAGAATGATGTTTTGCACAGCGATATGTTTCCAGTCTTCTGTGGTGTAGAAATATAAGTGGCTGTGACCTGCTGAAGGTAAAATCTACAGAGTTAATCTGTGCTTTTAGTCCTAGGTTTTCTCATTGGCCTCAGAAATGTCAATTACTGCCATCTGGTCACCAAGCATTTCAAAGTTTATCATCCTCTGTGTAGTACCAGATTTTTGATAATGAATTTCCTTTGCAGATGAAGGGCACCAGAAGTTTTGCTTTCTGAGGTACTGATTTTAAGATGTTTATTAAACAAAGTTTCTGAGCCTTCAGGCAGGGGGCCTGGTAGCGGTAAACTGATAAACCAGGGGTCTCATTGTTTCTGACCCCTAGCAAGCATTGGCCCATCTTGTGTGTCTCCATCTTCTTCAACTACCTGTAAATCCCCTGTTCTCACTTCTGAAATCTAATAATCCATTCTCCTCCTTTGTCCAAAATAACATATATACCTAATGTTACCTTGCTGTCTTTGCAATTGTCATGCTAATGTGAATTCCCCATATGCATGTATTAAAATTTGGTTTTCTCCAGTTAATCTCTGCTAATTTGATTATTAGCCCAGCTATAAGAATTTAGAGGGTGGGAGGAAAAGTATTTTTTTTAGCCCCCACACAAGTGTATCATTCGAAGCCAACACCAGACTGGTCCCACATGGAGCTGCATAAAGAATTGGGCAGCCTATTCCTTGGAAAGAGCAGATGGAAACTCAAGGTCAGATTTGACACAGTTGTCAGTTTCATTTTTTTCCCAAAGACCAGGTTGTCTGTGATAGTAAGGCTGGGTCAATCCATAGGCTGAATAAAAAGCCACTTGAGAGCTAAAGCTCTGCTTGTTCCAGGATATCCCTCCCATTAACCTGCCAAATAGCTTACAAAAAAAAAAAAAAAAAAAAAGAGAGAGGTACTTTGTGTTATTTCTTTGGGTTACAATGCAAAGTCCTCTGTTAAAATGTCTGTCCAGTGTACTATTTACAGATACCTTCTCTGGCCATGGGGGAATGAGGTGAAAATGTGTACATTTTGATGTGTCCTTGAGAAACGAGGGGATAGGAAAAAAAAAGGGGGCTGGCCAGAGTGTGACAAAACCTCTGAGAGCCCCTGAGCACTTCTAAGAGCCAGGCAGCAGTACAGGGCTCTTACTACCTATGTTACTTTCGGCTGTCAGGGTACCTGTCTGCTGTGGGTGCTGAGCTCTCCCTTTTACAGATGAAGAAACAAGGTCTACACAGAGAGTAAATTGGAGATCCAGGATTGAATTTAGGACATGCACTAAATCACTTGGCCACACAGCCACATTCTCTGAAGGTAGGGACTGAGTTTGATTCTTTTTTTCTTCCCAGCACAAGATGAATAAACCAACCTCCCAAGAGCCTAGGCAGTTGGTCAGGGAAGAGGTGCCCTCCAGAGCAGAATTTCCTGGGATGGTAAGGGAAGAAAGGATATTCAAAGAAAGCACTGAACGCTCAGAGAGGCATCTCCACCCCTCAGAAAATCTTGCATTTTATGCACGGTAAGCTCAGCCCGTAGTTTCAGGTGGTTTTTCTAGGAAACATTTCTGATTGCCACCCCTTTTTACTTCCTTAATGATGGTGTGGTGTTTTCTTCCTGTAGATTTTGGTAGCACAATGATTAAAGCAGCGAACTCGCTTTTATATTAGAAACTATTTTAAGTTGAATTACAATAAACGTGTATATTGGAGGCCAATGAGTTGGGAAACAAAAGACACATGAAATTTAAAAAAAGAATTCAAAACTACATGAATGAGATTTATTTTATCTTTTCTACCATTTGGTCATTTAACCTGTTATGATAATTATCACCTTTCTGAGATGAAGTGGCAGATATCCATAAAAGATCAGTTACAATATAAGCAACTTTAGTGAAGATTTAAAAATATAATAAATACAATGAAAATAGGATTTTGTTGGTTTATAGAAAAAAGTATAACAAATTCCTCATAGCCAGTTTTTCATCTTCCAGACTATGTCTATATGATTGATAGTGTTGCCAGTGGATATGTTATCAAATATATTGATATCAGATACTATGACTGATGATGTTTTAATATTTTTAGCCATAAAAAATACCTTAAAATTTATTTCAATATGTGTGGCACTTTTTGACACACAGTCACTTAAATTATTACTAAAATATCACCTTTACAAAGTAAGGCTGAAGAGGAAATACATGGATTTCTCAGTCTAGGTTATGCTTTCAATAAAAAATTAAACAAAATTTATGTATCATATTCAGAAACTGAAGTTATCTTATGAAAGTAAATTTATTTATTCACATTAGACAGAAAAATGGGAGCAGGGTGACCTGCAGATACACAGCGGCTGTGCCCGGGGGTGGGCCCAGCCGGGCCCTCCGTCCCTCCTGGCCCGGCGCTCACGCTCCCTCACCAGCCCACCAAAGCCCTGCCCGTGTTCACCCTGTAGGTTCCAAAAATAAACATTGAGGCTGTAAAAAGAAATGTCTTAAAAAACAACCACAGGCTTGAGGAGAGACACAGGGTATTTGGGGCTTCAAGGCTCTTCCTCTGGGAGGAGCTCCTGCTTCATAGAAAGGTGAAGTTCCTCATCAAAATTCTCCAGCTCCTGCTCCTTGGAGAGCTCCAGGAACACCTGAGAGCAGATAAGGAATAGACAGAGGGAAGTCACACTGCCTCCTGTAGCTTCAAGAGAGTGAAAAGTATTACTTATTGTACATTTATATTCCATGGATGATATAAAATCACTAAAAGTGACCCACCTGCTCCAGGGTGGACTGCGAGAGGCTGTACTCCTCCAGGTCAAAGCTCTGTTTAACTGCACAAGGATGGATGTACATTAGGGGTTCATATGTTTTTATATACAGATGGCCTTAGAGGTCAGCACAGAGTACAAATAACAATTTTTAAAAACATTAAATAAAAAGGTTAAGACAATAATCGCCAATGGTTTAAATACAGCGTTCAGCTAAAAGAATACCAAGTCATTTACGTAGGTTTGAGGAAAAGGTGCTGGTGCTATGCCTGCATGTTGCACAGGTTTTGAGATCTCTATTTAAGGGAGAAAATGGTGCTGAGAAGGCTTTCTTCCCTGCAGGTGAGCCAGCATTTTCGCATGTTCCGCTCAGGAAGCAGTAGAAGACAGACACATTTTGAAAAGGGTCACATCAGAAGACTATAGAGAAAGATGCCTGTGGTTTTCTAGAGAGCAGGTAACCCTCAACCAGCTTCTTTCCATCAATGCAGCTTGAACCCACTCAGGTTGAAAACCCTTCTCCTCAACCAAAATGGACTGGGCAGGGTAGTTAGAGCCCCAGTAAGAGCCCAGTAGACTGGAAATATACCACCAACAGTACCAGGTCAGAAATATGCCAACAAAGGTACTAGACTAGTACTGGCAGCAGTGCCAGTCTGGGGAGCACTCACATGAGGGGGTGCTCTGCTCAGGGAGTGGAAAGAAGAGGTGTCCCTGCGACCACAGATGCTATCAACAGGAGTTAGAAGAGTCTTCTAGAACAAAGAGACTTGAGTCTCTTCTTCAGGAAAGGTGATAAGCACGCAAAGATACCACTGAGCAGTGGCAAGGAAAGAACACAGGGAGGGAGTGCCAGCTAGCACAGAGGAGAGCGGCAGAGCTCGTGGGCCTGGATGGCAAGCACAGCCCGAGCCTGGGGGCGGCAGATGCAGTGTGGTCAGTTTTAAAGTGCAGCAGACATAAGAAGATCATCTTAATGACCAGACAAGAGGTTAGTTTCTTAATATAGAGCCTACGGCAAAAAAATATATGCAACTCCACCTAAAATTTAATTTTAAATATGTCAGCACCAATATTCCAAAAGAAAGTATTCTCCTTAAATACACATATAACTGAGTTTTGACTTAGCTTGTACCAATGTATATACAAAAAGACAGGCAAAAACCCCAGAAAGAAGTCACTCCCATTACCCTGACCCTACAAACACACACAATTCCTCCACTTCCTTGATATTGTGCTCCTAAAGTTTTAACTTTTAGGAGATTTTAACTTTTGAATTTAACACATTATGTTACATTTAGTGTTTGTCATGAAGATGGATTATTTTTATGATATGAAATTATCTGCTTTCAGGCTCTCATTTCAAGGTGTATCAGTCTTACCCTTTTCTAATTTGAAGAAAGCTTGGGCTAAAGGTCGCACGTCTTCCACCAACAGCTTATAGACCATCAGAGATGAGTACCTGGGAGAGGAGGGGAGACAGGATGATACTACCTTTGACGGATGGAAACGGACTCAGACATCTCAGAGAGATGCCTTTATTTCTCTAAGTGTGGTTTGGTGCAAGTGAAATGCATAGGCTGAATCCACAGTACTAAAAAAGAGGCATTTCACAAAGAAAAACGGGGATGGGAGCCAGACTCAGACAGTTTTGTGCTCTTGGGCTCTTGTATGGAGATGAGCAGGGATGGTACAAATTGCCAAAGTCACCTTCCACCTGACTTTCTAAGCTCAACACTTACTCCTTGGCTTCATCCTCCAACCAGGCCCTGATCCCAGGTAGTTTCTTAAAGTTCCCCAACTTGGGCAGAAATCTAAGTTTATTCTCCAGGGAATTCATACCTCTCCTACCCCCCAACCTCCTACTCAAACTGCTTTCCTAATGCAGGATAACATAATCGAGTCTCTGATTAGGAGACTGGAAATCTCTAGGAGTTCATGCCCCAAAGAATGTCCAACAACCACTTTAAAATAATTTGTTTATCAGATAAATTTGTCTTACACCACTTGAAAATCAGGAAGATTTAGACATCATTTCATAAGATACTATTTCATATATTTATGGAGCAATCATTCTTATCCATTTTGCTCATTCCCTGTACTTCTGTGACATATTTCTAGTTAGTCTGGGGCTGCATGTTGAGTTACAGCATTGCTTTTATATTTATAGGCCACTGTAGAAATATATTTTCAGACCTTGTCGTTATGACTTATTTCTCTTTACTGTTTTCTCCCCAACTCCTAAATTACCTGTCTTCTTTGTAGGTGTTAAAAATGACCCTAGAGTTACTCTTTTGTTTTTTTTTAGGGTACTACTTTTGTGAGGGTTGTTTCATTATCAGACTTTATATAAAATTGGAAATATTAATATATTTGAAATAATCAGTTTTACATCCCAGTTCTCTCACTTATAAGCTGTCATGTGATCTAACCTATCTACCAATTCCCTATTTATAAGGATAATAATTCCATTTATTAAGGTCCTTGTGAAGGTCAGACTATCACAATGCCCTTTTTAAAAAAGATTTTTAAAATTGTTATTCTATTACAGCTGTCCCAATTTTTCCCCTTTTGCCCTCCTCTGCCCACCCCACTCCCAGCTCCCAGTCAGTTCCCACACTGTCATCCATGTCCATGGGTCATACATATGTCCTTTTTAGCTAATCCCTTCCTTTTCTTTCCACCATTATCCCCCTCTCCTCTCCCCTCTGGTGACTGTCAGTCTGTTCCTGTGTACAGGCATGGAAACATGGAACAGACTGACAGTATCCTTTTGAAATCATCTAATTTTTCACTGGAATACCAGAGTCTAGTTTAGAGGGTTTTGGTAAGGATTAAATAAGATCACCCAAGACCAGGACAGTACCTAGCACACAGTAGTACCACAATACGCAACATCAGCCCTTACCTCAGCTCTTCTTTGGTTTACTTTCTGCAGTATCGAACACATCATTTCTTTCTTTTAGGTTTCCTTTTGGGCCAAATGTGGACTCGAAGGACTACAAATTAATGAGCCTGACATGGAAAACTTAACTTTTGATACTAGATCAAAGCCAGCCACCATCTTTACCTTTCCTGCCGAGCAGCCTGGGGGAAAAGCCTCAGAATTTCCATGTGGAGGGGCTCCACCTGCGTGGGAGTCTTCACCTTCATCTGTAGCAGGTAATCTTTGCCAAATTTGCTCTTCAGATGCTGGATGGAACCGATACATCTGGAAGGAAGGAGGAAGTCATAACACAAAGAGGAAAAGAGGAAAAATGCAATGTTTGAGGTCCATAATTTGCTGCTAGCACTGTCTCAAGGCTTCACTGGTGGACCCTGGTGATGTGGTTCCAGTTATTCACAGTAGCCTCTCTGCCTACCGACAAACTCTGCCAGCTGTCCACCTGGGGGAGTCAAAGGTGGGCTTGGGCAGACACCCACCTCAGCCTTCCAGACACCATGATGGCCACGCGGTCACACACGGCCTCAGCCTCCGCCATGTAATGGGTAGTCAGGAGAACGCCTGTCTCCATGTTTTTAGAGGTAGCCCGGATTGCCTGCCTAAATTGCCAAGAGAATATTTGCAATTAAGGATGTCATTGAATTAATCAGAGAAGAGACTTTTCAACGGGCTTGAATGTAAATAGTTAGCAAAAAGAGATTAAGCAAGGGCAGGTGGGAGGAGGAAGGGCAAGCCAGGTGAGAGCTATTACACTGTAGGCAGGCATTAGAAGAGGGAGTTCACCGAACACAACATTTATCATGAGGCTGTGTTGAAGGAGAAGTGCTGAGCAAGAGACTGGTTATGAAGAGGCTGTGTGAGGGGGGGCAGAGTTGTCATAACCTGGTAGGGAAAAAAAAGCACAGGGAACATACATGACAACAAGAGCCCTCCTTCTGCCCCCTCCTTCACTTGCTAATGAGAATTACCATTCTCAGGAGAACTATGGGACACGGTGTGATTGTGTCATAATGTGTCACAGAGAAGCACCAGAGCTGCCTAAAAGATTAATCGAGCAATTCCAATACTCAGACTGAGTATGCTTGAGGCCTGACAATGATTATTTTTCCTTTAATGAGAAATGGTTAGGAAGTATTATCAGGATAAGACTTTTTCTTGTTTGGCAAAGTATTGGTTATATAATGATACTGAGGGTTTTATTAAGAAATGGTTTAAGGGAGTGGTGGCCACCTTGCTTCCTGGTAGAGCTGAGGTGTGGCAGCTGCAGCCTCTAGGACATGGTGACCTGAACTCTCAGGGGAGGCAAGAGAACTGAGTGGAGCCATGGCCAGTGAAGGGTGAGCAGTTGGACTGACCACAGCTGCTGCAGAATTTGCAGGCTGTTATGTTTTGCAAGCCATGAGGCACATGGACTCTCAAGCCAATGAAGTTTTTCCAAAGTCTACCAACATCTGCTTTCAGGGGTGGCTATTACAGAGGTGGGTCTGAACCCAAAATGACAAAACGGGAAGCAGCATTAATACTAGGTCTAAGTTCTACTGTCAATAAAAGAAAAATAAGAGATGCTCATAGATGAATTATGCTTTTAAATCTGCCAGACAAGGGAAGGTCACGTTATATAGAAGCCAAAATCAATGAAGCTCAAGATTTACTAAAAGGTCAAGCTAAAAAGTGAGGTAAACATGAAAAATTTTAAATTCTTATTAGTTATGTATATGAACACTAGCTTTTTATAATAAAATGTTTCAAAGTTACAAATGTTAAAGATGATTTTGCAGAAACTAAGTTAAAGCCTTGGTATAAACTCCCTGTTTAAATTTGAGGATTTTAAATCAGACTATGGAATATTTGAAGATTAGGAGAATCAAGATGGCAGAGGAGTGAGTGGAAGTCACAGCGACCTCCTCCCAGGAAAAACCTGGAATAACAGCTAAACTGTGGAGAAATCACCTGGAACAAACAACTGAACAATAGTGAGAAAGGAGCCTTGTAACCTCAGAGACAGAAGAATCAGCTTTAGCGCAATCTAATTAGTAAAGAGTACGGTACAGACTCAAGAAGGCGGGCGGGGTGCCCACGGGCAGCAGCACCAGAAGGATATTGAAACGGCCAGTTGGATCCCCCTGAGAAGAGCAGGGTCTAAACCAAAAGCAGGGATCTCTAGCCTACAGCACCAGAGCCCAAAAAGTACACAGAAAACAGCCAGCTGCAAAAAGCGGCAGGGTTGCTCTCTGCCAGAGACAGGTAGCTGGAGACGCAAAGAGCCTTCTAAAGGGCCAACGCAAAATTTTTATTTGCAGCCACTTACCCTGGTCTCCGGCAAAGGTAGGGGCAGAGTGGGCTAGAGATGCCAGAGGAGAGACTGCGGAAGGAGGCTTTGGGGAGAGAACTGAGAGAGTAGCCAGCCGGATCTCAGTGCTGACTCATCCCCGATATGGAAGCAGCCATCTTGCTCAGGCAAAGACCACTCCCCCTGAGCGGCACCAACGTCAGAGGACCCAATGGCCCTGCCCCCAGGAGGGATTCCACCTCACCCTGTGGTGTCTAAGCTGCCGGTTGAGTGTAGAGTTACTAGATTAACAACTGAAGGAGACAGCCACAGAGAGTAGATTCCTGGAAGTTTCGAACAGACTGCCTAAGGTCAGAGAGGGACGACATTCTGACATCCTCTGAAGCAGATCCAAAAAGCAAAAACAGCATATCTTAGAAGTTCATACCACAAAGTAGGGAAGTTAAGACAGATCAACTTAAGAGCAGAAGCAAAAAATAAGAGTCTCACAAATAATGGGAAGACAAAGAAATATCCCCTACTCGAAGGGAAAGGAGGAATCCCCAGAAAGAGAAATAAATGATATAGAGGCTAGTAAACTATCAGATATTGAGTTCCAAATAGTTCTAAGGAAGTTCAAGGAGCTCAGTGAGCTCAGAGAGAATTACAAAAAACTACAGGGAAACTATGAGGAACTTACTGCAAAGTATATCAGCATGAAAAAGGACATAGAAACTATCAATAACACACAAGAGGAAATGAAGAATACAATTTCTGAGTTGAAGAACACAGTAGAAGGAATCAAAAGCAGGCTAGATGAGCTGAGGACAGAATCAGTGAGCTGGAGGACAAGGAAGAAAAAAGCTCCCAAAAAGGGCAAGAAGATGAAAAAAAGACTCAGAAACAATGAAGAGGCATTTAGGGAAATGTAGGACAACCTGAAACTTAATAATATCCATATAACAGGGATACCAGGAGGGCAAAGATGATGAGGAAGTGATAGAGAACCTGTTTGAAAAAGTAATGATGGAAAACTTCCCTAATTGTAAGAGAGAAAAAGCAACACAAGCCCAGGAAGCACAGAGGGTCCCATTCAAGAGGAACCCAATGAGGCCCACTCCAAGACACATCATCATTAAAATGGCAAATAGCAAAGACAAACAGAGAATCCTAAAGGAAGCAAGAGAGAAAGAGGTAGTGACACATAAGGAAGCCCCAATATGGCTAGCAGCTGACTTGTCAACAAAAACACTGCAAGCCAGAAGGGAATGGCAAGAAATATTCTAAGTCATGAAAAGCTAAGGCCTGCAACCAAGACTGCTCTACCCAGCAAGGCTCTCAATTAAAATGGAAGGTGAAATAAGGAGTTTCCCAGACGAAAGAAGGCTAAAAGAATACACCTCCACCAAACCAGCACTGCAAAATATGCCAAAGGGACTGCTTTAACAAGATGAAGAAAAAGAGTCTATGGATACCATACTTCCTTTCACAGTCACCAATACTTGATATAACCAATATTTTTTAACACTTGATCTAATTGTGACAATGATGTGTTATTTAATTGTTCCTTTATTATTTGTTGAAACTAAATCCATTTTTGTATATTTCTTGCCTATTTCTATTATTTTTAAAAAGCTTTAAATTACTTTTTGGCATTCTTTATCCATTTTTTGACTAAATGTTTGTAGAATTTTTTTCCCTAAAAAAACGCCAAAACTTTAACCCTTTTTTAGATGTGTTGCAAATACTTTCCTATTCTATTACTTGTCCTTTAACTTTTTTATATGTTTATTACTATACAGTCTTAAATGTTTAATATAGTCATATTGTCAATATTTTACTTTATAGTTTCTGGGTTTGAATATTTTACTTCAGGGTAAGAAAAATATAATTTTGTATTTTCTCCTAGAACTCCTTAGATTCTACATGTTGATTTTTAACTCACCTGAATATTTCTTGTATAATGTGTGAAATAGGGCTCTATATTTGTTTTATTTCAAGTAATAATGGTCCATGTGCCTTATTTGTTGAATAAGCCTTATTTTACCCATTGATTGAAATATCAACTTAATTATATATTACATTTGACAGATATATACATTTGTGTTTAGAAGGCTCATTATATTTCACTGATCTACTTGATTTTTTCTGTGCTGCTCTCATGTTAGTTTAATTGCTGAGATTTTATTTTTTTTTATATTTTATAATTAACTTTGACATTTTAAAAATAAATAAAATCAATCTGCATTTAAGAAAGAAAGAAAAAGAGAAAGAGAGAGATGGAACTCCTACCGTTTGTGACAACATGGATGGAAGTGGAGAATATTATGCTAAGTGAAATAAGCCAGTTGATGGAAGACAAATACCATATGATCTCACCTATAAGTGGACTTTATTCAACAGAATAAACTAACGAACAAAATAAACCACAGACATGGAAACATGGAGCAGACTGAAAGTGACCAGAGGGAATGGGGAAAGAGGTCAATGGTGGAAAGAACAGGAAGGGATTAGACAAAGAATATGTATTAATGACCCATGGACATGGGCAACAGAGTGGGAATTGACTAGGAGCGGGGGGTGGGGGTGGGATGGGTGGAGGAAGGTAAAGGGGGGAAAATAGAGACAACTGTAATAGAATAAACATGATTTATAAATTTGAAAAAAGAATATTTGGCGATTAATGTTTAATAATATGGATAAATACCTACTATTGGATAGAAATATTGTTCATTATTCAGTTAGCAAGTACTTTGGTACTTACTTCAAGGCAAACAGAACATGAAAGTCTCTGTTTCAAGGAACCCCAATCTAACGGGAGACTGATGAACTAACTGGTAATTAAAATACAATGTGATAAATATTATGATGGAATCAGCACAGGTTATTAGAGTAGATTCATCTCACTGGGAAGAAAGGCTGCAAGGTACAGAGAGCTGACTCAGCTACTTGGAACTATGAATTTAAAAGTGAATGTAGCCACAAATTTGACCTAAGAAATGGATGTAAGAAGTATGTATCATCGACAAAATTTAGATTCCATACATTAAGAACTCAATAGTAAAGAAAACAGTTTAAGGGACAATTGTTACAGTAGTAGAACAATCCACAGATTTCCTGCACGGCGTGCACGCTGACCCGGACCGGGTAGGCCTCCTCACCACATCTGCTGCTGCCCCTCGGGGTCCATGCCCGTGGTCGGCTCGTCCAGCAGCACCACCGACGGGTTTCCCAGCATGCTCAGCGCGAAGCACAGCTGGAACGAGAGGAGCCACGCGTCTGGCACCGGTCATCGGTGGGCTGCACAGAGCATCACCGAGCTCCGCCCCTACCTTTCTCTTGATCCCCTCGGATAAGGTCCTCACGGGCTGCTTCTGCTGGTCCTGCAGCTTGAGCGCATCCACCAACCTGCACGAGACACAGCGGAGTCTTAGGGCCTTCCTCACGATGGGGCAACTCGGTGGGGGAACGGGGCCACGCAGGACCAGCATGCGGAGCAGAGCTCAGAAATGTGGTTTTGAAAGTAGACACTGGGCTATGTTTAAAATGACTGATTTGATCCACCCCACCCCCAAAATTAGTTTTTCCTTTCAAAAAGGAGTTTAAGCACATTTCATGATTTCCAAATAGCTGTCCTATGATAGCTTATACTTAAATTTTAGTATTTTTGATCAATTTACCAATGAATACATTTTCAATATTTAATACGGGAAAATAAAATAACACTTTGGAATTGGGGAACCCAGATTTTAATTGCAAATCTACCCAATGTGGTTTGGGTCAGTGTTGACAGTCTCTTGCAAGGTCCTGAGTTTCCCGGAAGGTTGTCACTCCTAACTATCTCCCTGGACCCCTCAGGTGGAGAACAGGTGCACCACCCCCCTACTCCCCCAGGTACCGTGTGATGACGACAGTGGCGTCTGCTTTCCTGAGCCCTTTCACCGCAGCGAACACCTCTAGGTGTTGCCTCACGGTCAGGTTGGGCCACAGCGCGTTCTCCTGAGGACAGTACCCCGGGAACTTGGGGGCCTCGTCTCCGCTGCTGCCTTTTAGTAGCACCTGCGGAGAAGGGCTCATTGTTAGACTTTGGCCTGCATTGCTCCTCTGAGTATCCATGACACCTCTCTCCTTACAAACCCCCAAAAACTAGAGAAACCCTCAGACTTCACTTTCAGTCATCCGCCGCCATTTTGCATTGGAGGAAGGCTGTCAGTGTGTAAGTACCTGGAAACAAACGTGTGCACACCTAATCTAAGCTGAAAGTCAAATATCTCCCAACTGTGGTGTCTTGCCATCATGGCCAACTGTTCACATCCAAATTTTAAGTCACACTCGGGAAAAAGTGCTTTTAATTACTCACTATTGAGCTTCACTCACTGCCTAGGTAACAACTCCTGTGCTACCTGCTTTGGGTGCAGTGAGCAATGGAAAGGCCAGGGTCCCAATTACTTGGAGTTTTCCTTCTACTGAGCGGAGCAGGCAGTAAACAAGTAGAGAAATGAGTAAACAGCATACTGACAGATTGTGTCTGGTGCAGTGATGGAAATATTCAGGAGGCCAGTGTGGAGAATAACAGCGGAAGTGACTTTAGGGAGGGCGATTAGAGAAAGCCTGTCTGCTGAGAGGCCATTTCAGCAGAAGGGTGGCAGGGCACCTGCCGTGGAGAGGGCCAGGGATTTGGGGTGGAACAAAGCCCTGCGGAGGGACGATGCTCCATGTGTTCTTAGACCCTAGGCAAAGGAAGGGGACCTGGAGCAGAGTGGTCTAGGGGAGAAAAGAAAAACATGACTATGGGCACTTGGAGATCAGCTCCTGATCAGAAGGAGAGGCTTCCGTCCAGCCATAGTGCCTAAAGATCACACTGGCTGACCTGATTAAAGCTGATTTCATGACACCCAGATAGCTGTTGGCTTTATAATCAAAATCTCACTTAACTTTTAAAAATCTTTCATTCCAATACATCAATGAATGCTTATCTCTTTTTGGTCTCTGCTTAAGGAGGAATAAAACATTGATTTAGGGTCCACGTGGTGATTGAATTGGAAGGTGGTGTCAACTGAACTAAGGAGACCAGTTAGGGTCAGCTGAGCCACCAACATCATTGAGAGGCCCCCTTCAGGAACACCTGCTCTCATCTTGGCTTCAGAGTGACTGGGAATATGTTTTCTCCTTCCTCTTTAGTGGGATACTTGTCAGTCACATTCCTGGTGGTCTTTCCCCTTGTGGGCTTGACCACCAAGCCCTTTCCCATGGTCTAGTTCCACAGACCTCTGCCTTAAGATTCTGTTCTTCACTTCCTGTGGACATACAAAGGAGCTCTTAATGTTATATGTCTTCTGCGATAGAATTTTGGGAGGGGGAGTTTATAACTCATGTTGTCTCTCTCTGATAAACTGAGCTCTTTTTCTGTTTGCCTAGCCTCCTTATTCAGTAATTGCACGTACAATTCTATTGACTTCACATCCCTGCTGTTCAACTTCAAGGTATTCCTTGAAAACACTCCTCCAAGATAGTGGACCTGTACCTAAATATGTGTTCCAGTAACTAAAAACTTTTTGAAAGACAATGAACATGATTGCTTAATAAAGTTTATAAAAAGGATTTTTATTCATATTGGGAGGACAGTGCTCATCGAAAGTGCAAATCCATGGGTTTTATAGTACCATAAATAGAATCTGTATGAATTCTGATATTGATTTCTGATATTGATTGATATTGAAATCTCACTAAAAGCCTTTGAAATCATGAATAATTATCCCTTTCCAGTGATTAATTTTCATGCGTATTAATGTGATAATTTGTGATGTATTATTCGGCCACATTAATTACTTCATTCGTCTAATGAGTAAATGAGATTTTGCTGTGTATACTGTTTTAACATCTTATAAACTTATTCTGAGTACCACTAGGTAACATATTCGCCACAAAATTCACCTACCTGTCCAGCAGTTGGTTTTGTGTCTCCAGTTATCATCTTAATGGATGTACTTTTACCAGCTCCATTGTGTCCTAGTAATCCTAAAACCTCACCTGAAAAAAAAATGGTTATACTTAATACAAATTGATTTTAATAGTAAAACTAAGAATAAAACACAGTCTGAAGTTTCACTATGTGACAAGTGTTCTATGTGTTTTATATATAGTATTTCATTTGATTGTCACAAACCCCCTGAGAGGTAGTTACCATAATCCTTTCTTTCATATTTGGGGATGTAAGTTCATAGGGATGAGGTTAGTTGCCCAAAGTCACACTGATGGGAAGTGACAATACCACTCTCGGGAGCGAGGTGTGTCAGATTCTGTCTCCTGTGATCCCAAGAACTGTGCAATAATATCGCAGTAAGATATCTAACATCTGCTGGCACATCCCATTCGTTTTCTTGTGAAAAATAATGGACATTAGGCAATCTATTGTGTTCATTAAATAGAAATGCCATGGTTTCAATGGCTCATTTCCTCAGAGTGCTTATGGTTTCCACATAGATGTGACTAAGCCCCTATCCACAGGTAATTAATTTCTTTAGAAATGAGCCATGTAAAAGGAGATGTCAGGGCCACCTGCTGATGGTTCTCTGTGTGAACCAAGAGGTGGTGTACAGAATGATCCTCCTCAAAAAACATAAAGCTGTAAGAAGGGCCCTGGGCACACAGTGGAAGAGCATGCCCAACCTTTTCTAACACAGAAAGAGATATTTCTTGTGGCGATTTTCCTCTTCCTCTTAGAAAGGCAGCGTTTCTTCTTCCCTACGTACTCCTTGCGTAGACAGCTGGCAATAATGACTGGTTTCTGTAAATGACAAGGAAATCATGTCAGAACTTAAAACATGGCCCATTGACCTGGAGAAAGCTCCATCCTCCCACTGGGTAGGCCCCTCCCTGTACAAGCCATGCATCAAAGAAGACTTTCTACGCGGTGACACATTTATTGGCTATCCTCTTGTCTTAGCATTTCTTTTTGGAGAGAAAAGACTGTCATTTTTCTCTCCTACAAAGGCATTTACTTAGGAACAGATTAAGTGGAACCTTGGTACTCGAACTTAGTTTGTTCTGGAAAATTGTTCAAAAATCGATTTGTTGAAAAGCTGAATTTCTTTTGGTTGTTGTGTGAGATACATGTGACTCATCACATAGGTAGCAGCATGAAAGGGTTGTCAGATCAAGGGTCAAGAACCAATACCTGAAGTTTTGTTAGACCACCGCAACATTTTTTCCCTTGAACAACTTTGTTGAAAACTGAATCGTTCGAGAACCAAGACATTAGAGAAATGAGGTTTGACTGTATTTTATGCAGCCAGCCCATCTCTCAGAAGATAAGCAAAGAGATTTGGAGAAGCACCAAATCACACTCAAAGGACAAAACAACATGCTGTGGACTAGATTTTGCCCTGAGTTTTTTTGTACAGTATAGTTTTTCCAAGTAGCAGTGATTTGCATTACTTTGCTCAGTTTCTAAAATTCACAAGTTCTTTCTTGGCTTCTGTCATTTCAAATTCACTCCACTTTTGTTTTTTATCCTAAGAAAGACAAAGCAAGTTAACATGATTCTTTTTTTTTTTTTGTCCTTACCCGATGATATGTTTACTGATGAGAGAGAGAAAGAGAGAGAGAGAGATCATTAGACTCTTGTACATGCCCCAACTGGGGATCAAACCCTTAACCTTTTGCTGTATGGGATGACACTCCAACCAACTGAGCCACCCATATTTAGATGTAAAAATAATTAATACCTGCTAAAATAAAGTTATGATACTCATTTGTATGAATTAGAGAAACTCAAAATCATTTGAGAATTATAGACAAGTCACTTTAACTGACAAACATATGTATTATTTGATGAAATAACTACTTTGTATGTTTGTTTATTTTTTACCTCATCGAAGTTTGTGGAATTCAGGGCATTTGTTGTTCTCACTCTTTCCATCTGAACATCTTCATCCTCCCCTCCTGGATCTTCTGGGTTTTGGCATACATTGTTGCTTCTTTGAGAAATTCTGGGAGTCAAAACCATCCATTAATAATTGATTTTGGGTGTTCATCCTTGTGTCAAGACCACTGCATTCTCTAAATCTTATTACATTTAATGACCACTGCTTCCTACATATATTTCATTCTACTTCTTTATAGAGACATTATTTTTAGAAATATCAATAGCTAACTTAATACCTGGTATATGACAAAGAATTTTACTATAATTTAATGAAAAAATTTTTTTCTGGGCAGCCTAGCTTTGACACCAACATGTCGGCATTATTATATTTTCATAGGGAGATAAGGTCAGAATATTTGAAGTCAGGATGCATCCCCCCCAAGATGCTTTATCTCTTGTTAAGCTTGGCCATAGGTTTTTGGAATATGTGCCAGATTCACTCTTCCCCATTCTTACTCTGTCTTTCATATTTAGAATATAATCTAATTCCATTCTCCCTTCAAACTAATCTCCCATATTGATCTTAGAAGATTTCTTTAAAGTCTTCTTCTATCCTGGAAGTCTCTCATCCAGCTGTGTGATAGTTAACGATAAAACAGATGTGGTGTGGGAGACACAGAGGGAATAAGATGTTTATGGTTGTGTCCTTGAATGGTGCAGAAAAAGGCTCATGTTCTGAGTCCCATTGATAACTGAACCAGTCTATGGTCCACCAGTTGGATTTTTTTACTACTACAGGAAAAGAGCACAGTTACTGCTGTCGTTAACTTATTGATCATTCTAGTCTTCCTTTCTGGACTGACAGCATTCTTTCAATTGCTGATCTATTCAAATTAACTGATATTTAAACTGAACTAGCCACATGTAACCTTCCCTAGTCTTCCACTGCACAGTGTTGGAGAGTCCTTAATACTCAATGTTTCAGATCTTTTTGCTCCATTATTTATGATCTTTGATTAAGGTACCTAGATCTCTATATTTGTATGGGCACAAGGTTCATATCCCAGCCTATTCTAGCACTTCACATTTCTTTGTTAATGGGTTAATTTATACATGAAAAAATATTTAAAAATATTGATCACTGAAAAGAAAGAATCCAATTTGATTTTTCCCAACCGAAAGAATGGATCCTTTCTCCTTGATTTCTTTCCAAACTTCCATTCCAGACATCGAAGAATAAAAAGTAAGATGAGAAAATGAAGCAGAGGCTAGGAATAAAGAAATGCACAATTAGAAACACTGAAAGAACATCATTTCACATTACAAGTGATTTAGGAATAATTGGACTTCTGCAAAGATGTGTTTGGCAAAATCATTACCAATTTCCAATAATCTATTCATCAGATTTGTGAAACTATCAAATTCACTCTCATTGTTGTTTACAGACACATAGGAAACAAATATAATTACGCAATACCATTTCTTTAAGTCATTTCCTCTAATAGTTGTACAGTGTTCTTAAAAATTGGGATGCATAATATCTGGTTAATTGACCTTTATAAAAAAATTTACATTTTTGTACATATTTTATCTCTATGGGCTATGGGTACCCATATATCCACCTTAATAAAAAGTTACACCATATTTACAGGAATTAATATGGTTTAATCTAGTAAAATACATGATAATTTTAAAAAAGAATGTGTTCTTACAATGAGGAATACGAGAAAGGGCTCTGCACCTATTGATTCTCCATGAATTACAGAATACATAGCAAACTGCAAAAAGAAAGACAATGGTTAAACAGGAAGAGTTGAATTTTGTGAATTTTAGCCATATAAATGTGAATTGGCCCACTGAGCAGCCCTGCTGGCATGTCCCCTGATTTCACCAGGAGTATTGACTAAGTGTCCATTCCAAAATGTGTAGCAAGGGGCTGTCTTCTTTCCTCCCAAAGTCTATGAGCCCTTGTGCTTCAGTCTGAAGCAGTAGAATATAGCAGTTATTCATCATCTGCTCAGAGAATCTTGGGGGTCTGTGCTAGCCTGCCCAACACTGAGCGAGAAACAGGACTTACCTTTACCGCACACCCCCACCCCCGCACCTCCTGGAGCCCACTGTTCCTTTTAGAAGGCCTCTTTCTTTCCTTTCCCCTGGATACCTCTTTATGCACATATTGTACCTTCCTTCCATTTGCAGAGGTATGGATATCAGTCAGCTAGGAAAACAGGATTCTATTCATATTGAGAGCTTCTCTAGAATCCTGAAATCCCTAAGATTGGGGAGATCTCCTGTGCCTCCTTCTAGAACTGAACATGCTCAGAAGTCTAGGAAGCCCAGAGTATAAAGGCTGCTCTGTTTCTCACCACCTACTATCCTTCGTCCCCACCCATCAAATAGGGTCAACTCTTCAATTACAGTTCAGCTGGAGTATAATGTCCTTTCTGGGAGAAATTCTGCTGGAGTCCATGCAGTGGAAATCTTCAAATGTCATGCACATTTAACATGCTGCATAGTCCCAACCTGAAGCCAAGCCCCCCCAACTGGTTGTGAATTCCAGGACATGGGAACAGATGGTGGTGTTACTTACATGTGAATATAAGTACATACAGCCAAGTATTGCGCTTTGTGGTATTAAAAAGACGGCAACATATATTGTATTAGGTCCAAGTAAACTCAGCACAGTTATAACTGTATAGAAGATATTGGTCTAAACAAAACACAGATATGCATGTTAACCACTCTGAACTTCAATAGATGCTCCAAATTTAGATGACTCATCTTGGAGCTATTCCTAATTTCCACTCCATCCTCAAAAAACAAGCTGAAATCAGCATATCTCCACTGACATTTTCTTCTGGTGACTTAGCCACATTCCTTTGGTCTGGAGCATCATGAATGAGACATTACTGGGTAAATCTAGGATCTAATATATAGATTATCTTACTATAGGAAGGAGGAAAGGTGGGGTATACTATTTTTGGAGATAAAATTCAGAATGATAGACAAGCAATAATCATAGGTAAAAATTGAAATTGATATCTAATAGGAATCAAGCAACAATGAAAGGAGACTTTTGTTAACTATACCAGTGGAGAACTCTAAGCATTTAATTACCTGGAGTGGCTTAATAGAAGTGCTAAAATACAAAATTCAGGGATAAGAGAAACTTATAAGTACGTCTGATGCTCTCAGACTTTTTCTTCTAAACTATTGTAATCCCTTCCTAAAAGTTTCGATACTTCTAATTTCTGTCTGTTACAAACCATCGGTTTTATGGCTTCCAGAATACTTTTCCTAAAAGGGAGTCTCTGATCATATTTCTTTTCTGCACTATACACTATCCTGGCATCCCACAGTCTGTACAATAAATTCTTGAGCACATCACTTAAGTCTGGTCATGGTTCCAACCACTATGTTCACCATAACTAGGCCCATGCGCAGGCTGCAGCTTGCTTTCTATCTGTATTCATGCCAGGTTATCACCAGTAGCTAGGCCTTTCTCCTAGCCTGGACCTTCTTCCTTTTGGTTTCTGCCTTTCCATTGTTTCCTGTTTGCGTCAACATTGCTCTCCCGCTGTTGAAGTTTTACTCCTCTTCAGGGTTCACTTCCTGGAGGGAATTGCTGCTCTCATTTTCATGAATGACCCTCTCCCTCTTCTGGCTTAATAGACCTCTTTATTACTCAATTGTATGAGACTTTTAAAGATGAATGGCCTCTCAATAATCTTGGCCTTATCTCTCTGTTTCAGTAAGTGTCTGTTTACTCTTCTGTTTACCCTCTGAATGCTCTTTCAGTGTTGAAACTGTCCGTTTTTCTCCATCTTAGTTTGTGACATACTGTTAAAGGCCACCGATGGGTTTGTGGAATTAATAATTTACTTTTTGGCATCCTAAAATGACAGGAAATTAGAATAGATGCTTATAGAGGACATGTATTTTTCCTTCTAATTTAGGTAAAGTAAGTGTTGCTTTATGGAATTAATTCTTAGTCGAGATTAGAGAAGTTGTTTCTGGTTTTAACTATGCTAGTAACTGTATTTGTATAACTCCATGGAGATCTTTGGAGTTATATCTTTTTCAGTAAAAGGAAAATACAGATGGTTTCCAGGTCTCCTTGTATTAAAATATTTTATGGTTAGAAAAAAATCTGGCCACTTTTAAAAAAAGACAGGGTGGAAATAGGGAGAAAAAAAGATTTTCAAAATGCGGATTTTCAAAATGATCCATATACAATGTAAATGCAAAATATTTTAGCCTGTAATACTAATTTATCCTCCCAAGGGTGAATTTTTAAAGTATTAGCTCAGAATCTTATGCTAAATATATAAAATAACTGTCCCAAAACATACTTACAATAAAGAAGCAAAAAGACCAAATGCCACAGTTTTTTCTCCCTTTGCGAAAAATGAACGCAATTATGTATGTGAAGATGATAAGGGATGCAGCATAACCAATAGCACATGGGATCTGAAACGAATAGAAGTGTCACGTTTAGTGAGAGGGTGGTGCCATCTAGGAAAACACTTAAGATTCAAAACATTGTCATAGCACAGGATTTTAGTTATTAATGATTCCTGACGATGTATCAAGGAAAACAATTTGCATCTCTATGAATATTGTAACTTACTTGCATAATCTGATATATAATGGTAAACAGATATATTTGGAGACTTGAAATTTGGTCCATTAAATACATAAAAAGGAATAGCAGCCAGTACAGTGGAACATCAACCAATGCTTGTCCAAGCCAGTAAGCTGAAGGGAAGAGCCCAGAAATCCGTAGCTGGGACCAAACTTTGTTCTATGTAAGAGACAGCAAAAAATACAAATGGCATTTCAATTTGAGGCTTAAGAAAATGTGGATTATGTAAGAAATATTCAAACAAAACATCCATTTGTAATGATTCTGCATCATGCCTACATGTTATCTGGACCAAGGAATATAAATTGTTCCAAATGTAAATGGTCAATTTGCTGCTTTAATGAACAACATTGGTGTTCATCAGACACCTGATAGAACACATGGGAAAGAAGACGTCAGAACAATCAAGGTATCAACACTTGGGTAAACAAAGTGGGGGTTAATGACTTACAGGTCAGGGTGGGATAGTTTATCTAAGCAGCTAACTTTTTATCAGTGATGCTTTTTTGACTAAGTATGAACTGTGCTCTTGCTCTCTTTTTCCTAGTATTGCAGTTAAATATATACTTATATATATATATATATGCACTTAAATATATATAAATGTGCTTTGAATATATTATAATATATAAATTAATAAATATAATAAATATATAGATATAAAATTATACTTATATAAATATATAAATATATAATTAATAACTAAATTAAATATATATTTGCTTTATTATTTTAATCTAAGTAAATGACATATTTGGATAGTTTTGCCATAGCACACATTCATATATTTATTGCCCATACAAATATTTGTGTGTGTGTACATACAGATTCCTTCACAAATATAAATGTATGTTGTATTCCTTGCCGTTCTCTGAATAAACTACTAAGTCACATATTTTAAAAACAACTTATGCAGTGATGTGATTTTGGGCACAAATTATACTTTAAACCTAATAATTTTGAATCTATCTTTTTCTTTTAAAAATATTTATATTCATTTGTTGATGGCTGCTGATCAGCTAAATGATGCTCCTGTCTGAGAGGTAATTTGACCTAAGGATTCATAGCAAAATCTTCCCACACAGATCCACTCAGGTAGTACAACTGAAAAGGACTTGGTGATCTACTTATTATGTGGGTGAAGCTCCAAGAGAAATGAAGGATGGTTTCAGATTACTGACAAGATAACTGATGCGTAGTGCTGACATTTATGGAGACAGAAAATAGCAAGGGGAACACATTTAAGAATATCATACATTTAGTTTGGGAAGGTGAAGTCTGAGAGTCAGTGAGGCCTCCAGCAGAAAAGCTGAGAAAGGAGTCTGGGTCAGCACTGAAGGTGAAATTGCAAATTAGAGATCTGAGCTAGAGTCCAATCAGTGACCAGTCAGTAGAGGGGATTTGAAGCCCTAGCATTAAATGAGCTTGCTGGGGAGAAAACGACATCTAACATGAGAACCAGGGGTTGAGACCTGAGGATTTCCAAAATTTAGAAATGAGATAGAGAAAATGAAACTTCAGAGAGACAGAGAGGAAGACAGTGGCTGCAATGTTAGGAGAAACATAGTGACATCAGGACATCACATAGTCAGGGCAGAAAGAAAGTGTTCATGTTTTCCACGGGTGAAGTTTCAAGTTTGGAGTATGTTATTGCTAAAACGACTGACCGTTCCATCAGGCCAGTGCATAGCCTTTCCCTAGATTCTGGAGATTCTACACAAGAAAGGGAGCATTACACGGATAACACACCCTTTCCTTGGGCAACAGAATGATTTTGGGCAGGAAGTGACACCGATGGAGATGGTAATGAGTAAACAGAGATGCTTACGCAAGATTTCATGGATTTTGCGTAGTAAAATTACAAAAATGGAGCTATTAAAGGATTTCGTATTGAAACTTGTAAGTAAAACTAATGCAAGTTGGCCTGAGTGGGTTAGTCATATATGTTCATCATCCTTTGATTACTATTCAAAATTTGTCTCCACTTCAGAACTACTGAATCAGAATCTTCTTTTTAACAAGATACTCTAGCATTATATCTTGTAGACACATTAAAGACTCATTTGGACTCATGAAAGAGCATCTGTAAATGAAAATTTATAGATTGTGAGTTAAACATTGGGATTTTCTTTTTATTTCTCTAAGTTCTCAATATTTTCAAAATATCATTTCCTTTTATTTCAACAATCTTTTTATTAACTTTTCAAACAATAAAAAGTACACATATGAAGTACAAGGTTGTGTGAGGTTCAGTAAATGCATTTTACTGAATCACAATCACAATCAAAGTATAGAGCATTTCTATCCTCACCCCCACCAGTTTCCCTGTGCTCCTTTGTGGTCAATAGCCGTTATTGCTGGTTACAAGAAACCACTGGTCTGCTCTCTGCCATTAAGGTTTAGTTTTGCCTTTCTGAGAATTGCATATAAGTGAAAAAATTTAACATTTACTCTTCTGTGTCTCATTTACGCTGGTAAATGTATCAGTTACCCCTTCTTTTGTATTGCTGAGTAGCAGTCCATTGTATGACGATACCAGAATTTATCAGTTCACAGCTTGATGGACGTTTGGGCTGTTCAGGCTGTTAAGAATTCTTCATGTTGTTGACATAAATCTTTTATTATATATATGCATTATGAATATTTTTCTCCAAGCCCATAGCCTTTTATTTTCTTATTGGTTTTTTACAAAGAACAAAAGGTTTTAACTTGGGACGAAGTACAAGGTATCATATCCTTGATTTGATTGGTATATGCTTCTTTTGCCCCACAAGAAATATTTGCTTACCACTAGACCTATGATTCATTTCAAAATAATTTTGTGTATGGTGGGAGGTACATGTTGAGAACCTTTTTTCCCCCCCCATAACAGTATCAGGTTGCTTCCATACAATTTGCTGAAAAGACTAACCTTGCTTCATTTGAATTCCTTGACAGTTTTTCTTGAAAATCAATTGATTATATATGTATGGGTTTATATCTGAAATGTCAATTCCATTTTACATATGTATATGATTATCCTTAATTAATACAACACATTCTTAGTTACTACAACTAGAGTAAACCTGGAAGTCAGAAGTGTAAGTATTCCAACTTTATGTTTTTTTCAAAGTTATTTTATTTTCAGTTCTTTGCATGCTCACATAAATTTTAGAATCATCTGTATAGCCTATCTATACATTTATATTTCCGCTTATAAACTTCCCTTTATTTTTACAATTTAGGATTTATGTCTGAATTGGCTACTCAATTTTACACATACAAAAAGCCTCTTGAAAACTCCTGTAATTACATTACCTTCAACGTGTACTTAGACAAAGAAAGGAAAATTGCAGTCACTCGTTGTTACCTTATAATCATCAACGCTGCCCATGGCAATATAAGGAGCACAGCAGGAGGACAAAAACAGCCAGAGCAGGGAGGGGATCGGGAATATCAACGTCGGCTCCTGTGTCTTTTGAAAATGCAAAGAATACCATGAGGCAAATGAACAAATTCAAATTCATTTTCTGGAATGCATTTTAAAAAATATTGCGCAGATTATGTATAACCCTGCCTTATACCCCTTTTGTTACCAAACTCTTTCACCATCCATCCAGTTTTGAAGCTTGACTTTTGGCTTGATACCCGCAATTATGGATAAGGAGAGTGATTAAAAAAGGTGAATGAATTGTGCTGTCATACTACAGAGTTGGAAAGTAATAATATGGGTATGATCTTTCATTTTCTCACTGTGTGCTTTTAAATGGATTCTGATGCTAACTAATAAATGATGATAATTCACAGTTGAAGCATTCAGTTTTCTAACTGATCTTTATAATTGTTTTAAATGTAATAGCTTGACTCAAAAATCATATCATATATTTTTTGGGCACAGGGATACTAAGTTATCTTTTTAGGCACACCATGAGGCAAGGTAAATATTGGTTGAGGATTCAAAAGTAGAGATGAGGTAATAGAAGGGAAGTAAAATTTCCAGGGAAAACCTATGTCCTTGGTTATGCATATGGCTGCTCCTGTTTATAACCATCTTTAAGAATAAAATATTCACAAATCCTCATGGAAACAGTCTTCATTGTTTCATGGTTTACGTAGTTGAGTTTGAGCAAGCACATTACTGAAAAAACGTCATAACCAGAGCCTGGTCATGTTTAGCCTGGCCACCAGAGCCACACTTGCTATGCACAGAAAGATGAGATTTAAAATTACTGTCAGAATTTTCCCAGGACACATACATGCTGGGTGGGTTCAGTACTCTGGAAAATCCATTGACTTTGGGCAGGACAGAGACATGGTCTGCAATTACTTGTGCAATGAGTAGGCAAATTTGAATAGAGTATAAAATGACTTGCTGGAGATGTTAAAGTTAGATCTTGGGTACATAAATATATGGTTAATTGAGCTGATTGGTATCATCACACTCACCTTAGCCAAACAGGACATTTTTATAGATGAACACCCAAGGCAATATCTTGGTTACTATATCCGCCCTCAGAAACCAGAACATTGAAAAAGCCTTCACAGTTATATAGGAGGGGAACTAAATAAACCGTAGTATATATCATAAAATTAATTAGTATTTGATAGGTGACTGAAACTTTTTGCTTTCATGATTAAGTGTCTTACATACCCTTACTGAAAGGAACTACTTCCTGAGCACACAGTGAGATATGTTGTGAGAAAATAACTCAAGATCTTTCTGGAGCATGTGAAAATAATGATGGATACCTGGTCCATTTTATATACACATGGGTAGATGGTTGTTAGCCATATACATTATCATAAAACCTTATAGTTGAGTGGGAAATAGGTAATTTTCTGACCTCTGGTATTGCTTTATGTATTTAACAATTAAGAAGTTCAGGGCTTTTCATGTTCCAGTTCCTATCCTATGTCCAGGGTATTGTATAGTGTTAAAAATACATGCTGAGAGAATGCTTTAGAAGGGAGAACTATATTTAGGGAATAATCTAAAAAGAATAATTGCAAACTCTGATAGGTATTCTGATTTCCAAACCTAAAGGGATCTGTACATTCCAATCACCTGGGCTTCTTTTCAGAAACAGGAGTTGTTTTTTTTTTTTTTTTTGCCTTTATGAAAAAGCTGCTTTTGTCCAGAATAGGCCTTAGGAATTATTAATTTTGACAAGGAACTGGGGTCATTTTTATGTAACCAGTCTCCAAATCTAGCCTGAATTTGTCCTAATTTTTTTTCTTTTGCAGCATTTATAAAAGTAATAAGAAGGCTTCTATTTCTCTCTTTTTTTTTCTTTCATTATTTTTCTAGTCACAGCACTGCATGATTTCACTTTCATTTCCTCACATTCTCTTTGAAAATATATTTTGTTAGTTCTGTTATGCATTAAAAAAAGAGAATCCCTGAAAATCATGTTGATTTCCCAAAGCATGCATCTAAATGCTAATTTATCATGCAGTACTTTACTTAATTAGAATCAAATTCCAGCACTTAAAAGCATCATCAGGGAGATTCCTGATGAGGAGAGTCTCTCTGATTATATACTTACCCCCAAAGATGTAGTTCTGTCAGTTTGGATGTGTGCTGATGGCTGAACCATTCCAAGTAGCCCATTACTAACAATATGCATAAGAACTGGGAAGCAATTCAGTCTTTTGACATTGCAAGCTAATGAAAAGCTGTAATTCTAAAACATAAAAAGCAAGTTTATAAATTCTCAGAAATCTTCATTTTTTTCTAATGAGGTAAAAATTCCATATTTTATTTTAAAAAGTCACATTCTTAAATGGTGTTAAATAATCAGAACAAAAACAAACACTGTATAAATAAACCAAAACATGTCTACAGGCTGTGTCTGATATTTCAGGATACCAGGTGTCTATCTTATGGCTACAATAAAATATTATTATTGTTTAAGAATAAAACAGATGTTTCAGAATATATGTACTTGGCAGTGGGTATTGCATAGTATTTATTTTGTTAATGTACACAGTTTGTGTTGGTAGACAGTGATTGATTTATGAATTATTATACTAATGATGACAATTAACTAAGTAATAAATGAAAGCAATATTTGTTTTTCATTGTGTTTCCTAAACTACAGGCCTGAGCATATTGATACCTTACTAGCTTTGCATGCCTTTAGGAAAAATTACTAAGTAAAAACCACCATACCTTTTCGTGACCAGACACTATGATGGCTCCATTATAAGATGGATCATCTATGCCATTTCTAGTTCCAGATACATCCACTTCCAAAGCTATGTTCTGATGCTCCACAGAATGTATAAAGTCATCAATGTTTGTCCCTGAATTGTAGTTAAATATATTAGGTATCACAAAACTAAGAAAACCAACATCAAGTTCTGCAGTGAACTTAATGGAATAACCTAATGGAATACTTATTGGAATATGGACTATGAGGATATTTTTCCACATGATAACATGCCTGCTACTGTTAATTTAAAAATCTACTCCTTTCTTATGGAGTTTACTTTATAATATGTTTATTGGCTTATGATTAGTGCCATATGGTGCATTTGGAATAGTTTTTTTCCTAGAGTATTTCAATTAGTGGCCATACCAATATGCTTTCAATGACACAGCTAATTGCCACTAATTAACCACCAAATTTGTTAAAGCTCACTTCACTGCTGTGAGATTATTTATTGGTTTTCAAAATATTTCCTGATGTAGGAAGACAACTTGTTGAATGCCCATTTTAAACAGCAAAATCACCAATAAAAAGTACAAAAATATGGAAAATGTCGTACTAAATAGACTACAGAAAGAACATTTGTTTATAGCGTGAGATAATTTGTTAATGTTTTAGAGCTGAAACAAGAGGGCAGAGTAACACCTTGTTCTGCCTCAGGTGGAAATGTGTCTATCAGGTGACACAACATTTTTACAGCTGCAAACACAGTTTTACAAACTGTGGATGACCGCAAAAGTGCCTTGAGTATTGGATTTGAGTCTAGAAATACATTTTAGTGAGTAGACAAGTTTGTAAAGACATAATCTATAAATAATGAGGACCTGTTGCATCTAATAAGAGACTTGTGTCTAGAATATATAAAGAATTCTTAGAACTTAATAAAAAAGCAAATAAGCCATTTTTTAAATGAGAATAAAAGACATTTTCCCCCTAAAGATATTCCACTGGTCAGAAAACACATGAAAAGATGTTCAATGTTATTAGCCATTAGAAAAATGCAAATCAAACCACAAGATATTATTTGACACACACTAGGATGGGTCTGATAAATAACAAGTGTTGGCAAAAAATGTGTAAATATTAGAATACTCACAAAATGCTAGTGTAAATGTAAATTGGTACCATCACTTTAAAAAATAGTTTGGCAGTTCCTCAAAAGACTAAACATAGTCACCGTATAACACAACAATTCTGCTCTTAGGTTTATATCCCCAATAAATGAAAAAAAACCCCACCCACATTCATATAGAAAGTAGTACTTGGACATTTGTAGCAGTATTATCCATAATAGTCAATTATTGAAAAAAACTCCCAAAATATCCACCCTCTGATAAATGTGTTATGTCCATTTGATAGAATATTATTCAATAATTAAAAAAATAAAGAACTGACACGTGCTACAACATAGGTGAACCCTGAAAACATCATGCTAAGTGAAAGAAGCCTGCCACAAAAGATCATATATTATATGAATCTACTCATATTAAATGTCCAGAGTGGCAAATTCATAGAAATAGAAAATAAATTTGTGATTGATCAGAGCTGGGGGCAGAGTGAATGAGAATAATTACTAATGAGTATGGGATTTATTTTTGAGATGAAAATATTCTGAAAAGAAATATAGTGATTACACAATTATGTGAATACACTAACAATCATTGAATTGTTGATTTTAAATAAATAAATATGGCATTTGAATTCTATCTCAAGCTGTGAAAAACGTTTTTGGGGGTACAAACTCTTTTGCTTTGCAAAACGCCATCAGATGATTTAGATAATTTATTTCTCCTTGGCAAATACCTTTTACAAAATTTATTTATTATTTTTGTGGCAAATACTTTCTTAATTCCTGCTCTATTTTGGGCTTGTATATTTGTCACCTCCAAGCCTGAAAAACTGTTTTTGGACACATGCTGAAGAAGTAAAAAAGTTCACTTTTTCTCTCAAGTTTATGTTTTCTAAGTAATGCTTTGAACAGTGAATGTATTGGAAATGAAGCAATTCACTACTTTATTACCTGTTTTATTGATGATGAGTAATTGAGTGAGAGGATCATGTGGTTGTTGTCCAGGAGCAAGGAAGTATAAATGAGGAGAAAGTTCCCAAGTGTAACTGCTTACATCTAATTTCAAGCTGATGAACTCCCAAAGAAGAGGGATAATTCCTATTCCTAGAATGAATAGCCTACACAGAAGAAAAGTGCCAATGTGAATGAATGTACAGTCATTTCCTAACCTTTTAAAACTGTCTAGGCAGGTTATAATTTAATGAGATCAAGAAATTATGAAAATTAAACATATAGTTCTCTTACTCATTTATGGAATATTTTGGTTTTTTTACCTCTAAATTAGACATTATAAAATACAGATTTATCCATTTTTTTTTTCATTTCTTGTTCCTCTCTGGCCATCAGCATAATTGCATGGGATATGTGTCCTTTAACTCAATGCCTGGATTTTCCCTCTGCCTGAATTCCAGTATGGTGTTAATTCATCAACACTTTATATTCAATTTTCTTCATGTTTAATCCTCTTCACATGGTTTCTATTTCTCTTAGAAATCATACAGTGGTGACTGCATGATTTCTTGAATCTCCAGACTTGAATTTTCAATTATTTTTTACTTTTTGTTTTCTTGTGTTTTCCATAGAAGTTGAATATTTTTATTATACTTTCATTATATCTTATTTTGAAATCTTTCCCCACTCTTAACTTCTAATTTTACAATATTACTTCTTGTCTCAATTCTTGCTAATTGACTCGCATCTCTCAGGACACTTCTACGGTGCAGCCAGGTTGATTGTAAAGATTTTTCTTCAATTACGCTAATCTCTTCGTCAAAGATTCTCAGTGAATTCTCTTTACTCATTTATTTAGCAAGGACTTATTGAGATTTTATTATGAACCAAGTTTCCTATTTCTTTGATGCTTAGTCATAGACAAGGCACTGAGGGACAGCCAAAGTACCGTGGATGCCCGGGTGCTAATGAGAGCAGCTCTTGTTCCTGGGAGCAGGAATACGGCTCATTATGCCTGCAGCAGGTATGGAGGGTGAGCTGTTGGCACTGAAGAGGGCTGGAGGGAAGCCCTGACATCTAGGTTAGAGTAAGCAGGATATAATGGGGAAGTCAGGACTTCCTGGGAAGACTCAGTAGCAACTGGCATAGGAATCCTGGGAAAAAAGATCTATATTCCAATGTGTCCCTCGCCTGCCACAGAAAATCTAAATGAGAGCAAATATTACATTCCTTTAACCTTTCCCCTAAAATTGGCTCTTATCAATTCCACCTACTACTCTGCTAGTAGATAAAAACTAGGATCAGGAACTACATTGAGTATTATGCTTTAACGAGTTTTGTAGGTGCGGAAATTTATTTTTGTTTTTTCTCTCTTTTTTTAGACCTTAATTTCTTTTAATGCATTGATTGAACAAAAGCTATGGCACTCTGATACTCACAGTGTTAAAAGACTTTTTCTTTCATGCTTTAACCTTAATAAGCGGACCCGTGCAATTGCGAGGATTTGCTGTCTCCACAGAGCCATGCCACCTACTGTTTCTCTCATCTCACTAAGTGAAGACAGAATTTGTTCTGTCTGAACAAGTCTTTCTGTGTCTCCAGCTCCTTCTGCTTGTACCTCTCCCAAAGTGTCAATATCTACAAAACACAAAATAAGGAATGTATAAAACCCCATTTCAGATTGAACTTACTATAGGCATTTGTTTTACCAAGGACATCACAGGTAACATCTTCCACATAACTGTAGGCATTGTTTGGTATTATTGGCTGTTGCCATGAACTGGATAAATAGTGGGAAGGTTCATTTCTTGAAACAAAAGGACTAGAAAGGTCTTAGATAATTTAGATACAGACAATATATTAAAGAGGTTAAGATAAGTATGCAAGACCATCATAGTGCTGAGGTGTGACTTGGAAACTTGGTAGTGGAAACAATTACCTTAGGTGTTTACCTGGAGAAACAGGCAACTGATGTGCTACAAACTGGGAGGTAACTGTAAATTAAACATAACTAGAGCAATAAGGCATTAAAAATGGATTAAACATAAAACTGTAAGAAACATTGTAAATGTAATAAAAAGCAAAATTCGACGATATGCTGAATTTAAATAAAATGCACAAAGCAGTACATTTTAAATTAAAAGTACAAGTGGGTTGAAACAATTTTTTTAAAGTGGCAAACACAAATTACATTAAAATTAAAGCAGTTGTGTTAATACTAGACAAACGGGGCTTCAGGATAACTGCCATTACCAGAGTTTAAAAGGAACCTTTCATAATGATAATGAAGGCAATTAATCAAGAAGACATGTTAATCCTAAATGTATATGTGCTTAATAACAAATTGAAAGTACATGGAGTAAAAACTTACCTAACTGAAGGGAGAAAAAGACAAAATAGCACATTTAGAATTACAATTGGAGATTTTACTATTCCTCACTTGTAACTGATAGAAAATATAGGCAATAAAAATCAGTAGGGACATAGAATATTTGAAAAACACTATCATCCAGCTAAACCAAAATGATATTTATACAACTCTCCATACAACTGAAGTTCTATAAACATATATTCTACATGTATACATTCGTATAAACACACACAAATATGCATTTCTATGTATGTATGTATACATTTTTTAAATAGAAAAGAAATATTCACCAAAATAGATGTAATGCTGATTCAACAAGTCTCAATAAATTTAAAAGATTTTAAGTTATAGGTTATGTTTAATGACTACACTAAACTTTTCAGCATCAGTAACAATAATATTTAGAAAATTCACAATTATTTTTACATTGAACAACACACTTGTGAATCACCAAACATGACAATAATTTTTAACTAAATAGGGCATGCCATTAGAGATGTAAAAATTATTGAAAATAACCAAATATAAATTTTGTATTTGAGAAGTATAATAAGTGAAAAAAATTGTCAAAAAATAAAAGCTCAAGATATTTCATCTGGTGGAAGAGATGATTAGTAAACATGAAAAAGATAAATTGAGATTATTAAGTCTAAGGAACAGACAGAAAAAAGAATGGAGAAAAATGAAGTTTCAAAGCAATATGAGACACTATCAAGCACACTAACATGCACTGCCACATACAATAATGAGAGTTCCAGAAGGACAGGAGAAAGAGAAAGGGACAGAAAGCACAGTTGGAGAAATAGTGGCTAAAACCTTCCCAAATGTGATGAAAAACTCTAGTCTATACATATATTGAGAGCAACAAACACCACATAGGGTAACTGCAAGGGGGGCCACCGCTGAGGACATCGTTGTTGAATTGTCAAAGTCAAAGACAGAAGGTGAATCTTGAAAGCAGGGGAGAAAAACAACTCAGCGTACAAAGAAATCCTCAGTAAAGTGTAGAGCTGAATTTCTTATCAGAAACCATGGAGACTAGCAGGTAGTGCGGTGACATATTGGAAGTGCTTGGAGAGAGAGATTTAGAATAAGTGTTTTGTCTGAAATTGCTCTTAGAAAATGGGATACCATGAGGGTTATGAGCCTTGGAGAGAAGAAAATGGGCCATCGTTAATACGAAGGCAATTGGCAATGGGGGTAGCAAATGTGACAGTGATGCACTTCACCTTAATACTTCTTGTTTAGGAACGGCCTTAATCATGGAACCCAATATTTTGCAATCATGTCTTTGGAACGGTCTCTTCTTGAGGTATATACTGCACTAGATGCTATGAACATATTTACATGATATTTTTCATGCATTTTAGTTACCTGATTTGTCAACAGTTGATTTTCCTTCTAGTTTCAGGAACACCTCATTCAAAGTTGTCATAGAAACACCGTAAGTCTCAATTCCCAGGTCAGAACGGAGATCAAGAGTCTCATAAAGTTCTAAAAAACACATACACAGTAGCAAATCAAAACAACAAAAATGACAAGTGAATTGAGGACAACTTTTCAAACTAAAAAAAGCACAAATAATCAAGATATGAAATTATACTTGTGATATGTCAGATATTTAAAATTAAAAACTAACATTTTATGATAAGTAACATTTTCAAGTCTGTATATTACTTTTTTTGTATTGCGTTACAGCCCATACATTAACTTCTTTTAATCAAATATTAATTTATATTTCTATTAAAACTCCATTTTTTTATAACTTGCTTTTAAAATTTAATTAATAGTGGAACTTCAAATTTTTTTCAACTCTAAGCCTAATTAATTGAAGAGTCTGTTTCAGAAAACAGTTACAAATAGCCAATTTTGTGAGAATTGGTTGGATTGTGTAGAATCTTCTTCAGTTCAAGAAATATGTGTCAAAGGAATACACATGATATAGATCATTTAAAAAATTTCTGCTTTTGACTGTAGAATACAAATTCACAAGATCTCATAGACAAAGAATGAGGAAGTGACTCAGAATTTTCTTGGAAAGGTAAGAAATGTTGATAGCATTCTCTCTAGCAATTCTGTATCCATTCATTCTTTAGTTCTTTCCAATAATACTTTTGCATTCAGCACTGTTCTTAAAACAAGAAACAATGTTCCTGCCTACATGAATTTGAATTACAATTTTTAATTAAATAAAGCTTAAATAAAAGCCTAATTTAAAATCCTGGTATGGGACTTCTGGCCAAATTGGAGGCGTAGGTAGATACACATTGCCTCCTTGCACAACCAAAAGGACAACAACAAATTTAAAAACAAAAAACAACCAGAATTGCCAGAATATCAAACTGTATGGAAGTCCAATAACCAAGGAATTAAAGAAACACTCATCCAGACCAGTAGGAGGGGCGGAGGTGGGCAGCCTGGGCGGGAAGGATGTGTGGCAAGACAGTGGCTGGAGGACCAGGCAAGGCAGTGGTTGCCAGACTGGGGGGGGTCCCACATTTGCATGTGGAACTGGGAAGCTAGACAGACTGTGCAATCCAGGGTTCCAGCGCAGGAAAAGAAAGCCTCAAAACCTCTGGAGGTAAAAACCAGTGTGGGTTGCAGCGGTGGAAGAAACTCCCAGCCTCACAACAAGAGTTCACTGGAGAAACCCACAGGGTCCTAGAATGTACACAAACCCACCCACCTGGGAATCAGCACCAGAAGGACCCAACTGGCTTGTGGGTAGTGAGGGAAGTGACTGAAAGCCTGCTGAGAGCCAAGCAAGTGGCATTGTTCCCTCTAGGACCCCTTCCCCACATACACGGTAACAATGGAGCAACCTGGGTTGCCCTGCCCTGGTGAATACCTGAGGCTCCACCCCTTCCAATGTAACAGGCACACTGAGACAAAGAAATATGGCTCAAATGGAAGAACAGATCAAAGCTCCAAAAATAGAGCTAAGCAATGAAGAGATAGCCAGCCTATCAGATGCACAGTTTAAAACACTGGTAATCAGGATTCTCACAGAAATGGTTGAGTATGGCCACAACATAAAGGAAAAAGTGCAGCTATACAAAGTGAAATAAAGAAAAATACACAGGGAATCAACAGTGAAGGGAAGGAAATCGAGACTCAAATCAACACTTTGGAGCAGAAGAAAGAAATAAAGATTCAACCAGAGCAGAATGAAGAACCAAGAACTCAAAAAATGAGAGGCTTAGGAACCTCTGCGACAACTTTAAGTGTTCCAACATTCGAATCATAGGGGTGCCAGAAGGAGAAGAGGAAGAGTAAGAAATTGAAAACTTATTTGAAAAAAATAATGAAGGAGAACTTCCCCAATCTGGTGAAGAAAATAGATTGTTGGGACTTACAGGAAGCTCAGAGTCTTCCAAAGAAATTGGACCCAATGAGAAACACACACCAAGGCACGTCATAATTACATTGTCCAAGATTAAAGATAAGGAGAGAATCTTAAAAGCAGAATGAGAAAAGGAGAGAGTTACCTACAAAGGAGTGCCCATAAGACTTTTAGCTGATTTCTTAAAAGAAATCTTACAGGTAAGAAGAGGCTGGAAAGAAGTATTTGAAGTCATGAAAGCCAAGGACCTACATCCAAGATGACTCTATTCAGCAAAGCTATCATTTAGAATGGAAGGGCAGATAAAATGCTTCCCAGATAAGGTCAAGTTAAAGGAGTTGATCATCACCAAGCCCTTATCATATGAAATTTTAAAGGGACTTATCTAAGAAAAAGAAGATCAAAACTATGAATAGTAAAATGACAACAAACCCATAACTGTCAACAACAGAACCTAAAAACAAAAACAAAAACAAACTAAGCAAACTACTAGAACAGGAATAGAATCACAGAATGGAGATCACATGGAGTGTTATCAACGGGGAGTGTGAATGGTGAGAACGGAGGAAAAGGTACAGGGAATAAGTAGCACAGTTGGTAGGTACAAAATAGACAGGGGGAGGTTAAGAATAGTATAGGAAATGGAGAAGCCAAAGAACTTACATGTACAACCCATGGACATAAACTAAGTGGGGGGAATGCTGTTGGGAGGGAGGGTGCAGGGTGGAGGGGAATAAAAAGGAGAAAAAAATGGAACAAGTGTAATAGCATAATCAATAAAATATACTTAAAAAAATAAAATAAAATAAAATAAAATCCTGATATGATCACAGAACACCTGTGGTTTCAACCTAGAGCTTCTCCCTGGGCAAATGGATATGTTAAAAAGCTTTCTATCTTTTTTTAAGTTAAATTTATTGGGGTGATAGTGGTTAATAAAATTACATAAGTTTCAAGTGCTCAATTCTATGATACATCATCTGTATATTACATCGTGTGCGTACCACCCAAAGTGAAATCTATTTAGAACTTTCTGTCTTGATTAGTGTCATATACAGAAACATGGAGAAGTAAGATGTAAACTGCTAATGAGTATTATGTGTCATTCTTCCATTTCCCTAAAATTATACAAACTTCCTCTCTATTATAACTATTATAAAAACACATTAATTAGGGCTTGATTAATGTTTTGCCTGATGATTCTAAAGACTAACTTGTGTTGTCACCATGAAATGTATATTTGAATGACTCTGTGAGGGTAATTTATGTGTCCTCGTTGCCCATGCATATGGTGAGGTTAATTATTTCAACCATTCAGTGCAGGCCCTCACTGGGCCTCATGACCAGGGAGCAGATTCTCTGAGTTATAAACATAACTAGTAATTTTTTAAAAAGTTGAACACATTATTTTTAGATAATTTTAGATTAACATGAAGTTATAAACAATAATACAGAGGGAACTGTCCTTTCAGTTTCCACCAACGATAATGTCTTAAAAAGCCAAGGTGCAATATCACAGCCAGGGTATTGACATTAACATATTAAGATCTAGGACATCACCGTCACCACCATGATCATGCTAGCCAGTAAGAGCCACATGTCCCTGGCTCATCATGGAGAGAACTGACAAAAACCACAGTTGCCTTCTTTTCCCTTGGGAGCAAAGGAGTTAATAGAAGCCCTTGGACTCTCTGACCAGGCTGGTGGGTGGGGTACCAACCTAGTCTGTGAAGACTGAGAGAGGGGCCTGCTTTATCTAATGCACACACGTCAACCCGGGCAGTCAAGGAAAATGAAAACTCATCAGTCAACTGCATTGTAAACAAAGGAACAAGATAAATCTCCAGAAACAGACCCTAATGAAATGAAGCTATATGATTTACCTAATGCAGAATTCAAAACAGCTCTCAAAAGTAAACTGTTACATATTGGCCTGAAAAAGCCAGAGTTCTCACAAAAGTCTTGTCAAGAGAAGAACAAGCCATATCATGGGGTTGTTTAATGTAATAGTTAAGCCAGAGATTTTCAATGATTTGTGTTCATGAATGGTTATGAATGTTAGACTATTCTGCTGCACACTACAAAAGGAATGAAGAACTAAAAAAGCACCTTAATATGCCCAAGTCTAATGCAACAATTGGAATATAATATTTCCCATAGTAGATAAAATAATCTACTTACTGTACATCATGCTTTAAAAACCTGAACACATTGTAAGCCCTCAATAAATGTTAGTTATAATAATTATCATTGATATTATTATTATGAATAATATTTATGTATTTCATTTCATGATGCTCATGTACATTACCTGGAAATTTATTTGTTCTTTCCAAGGGCAATGTATAGACAAGTTTTCCTTCACTTTCTGCTGATAATTTGGCATCAGGGATGTGCTGTGTAATAAGGGATGTTATTTTTCCTTGAACACACGTTTCATTCAACTGCAAACTGGTGTTCAAAAGAAGAGATATGTGTTATTTGACATCATCTCCATTCACAGGAAGAGAATTATTAGTCTCTATGGGACAAAGAAAGATAAAGAAATCTAATGCAAGAAATAAGTCATATGGACAAGAAAAATGAAGACCAAAAAAAATCAGATTATATACATGTGATGGGGGAAATCAAAGAAAGAGCAAACCAGAATTATGGGTCAGGTTATTCAGAGGTGATGCCTTGAGAAGGCCAATATTGACTTAAGTCTTTAAGGGGAGAATAGGTACCAAGATACCAGGAACACAACATAGCCAAGTCAGGACTCTAGAAGATGGGAAATGTTTAAGATGTTTTGAAGGCAGTTTAAGTGGGCTAAATAGGATTGTGGGATTGGGCAAGAACAAGGGAACTTTTGATAGGTAGGCTTAGGTATAAAACAGGTTCAGTTCAATTTAGTCATTCAATGCAAATTTGTTAAGTTCTTAGCGTGTGACAGAAATCATCCTAAATGCTGAAGGTACAATGGTGAATAAAACAGCATTGTCTTGTTCTTATGGAGTTTAATTTCTAATGGGAGAGACAGAAAGAAAAGTAGACAAATGGATAAGTAAAATAATTACCCATAGTGGTAAGTGTCATGAAGGGAATGGGGTTATAGATAGAAACTAATTATGGATAATGTGGGTTTGGGTTGGTGGGATCACTAATTGTTTGCTTTCTTTGTAGTGCTAACTTTAGAACTTTGATTAAGAACAAAGTATCATTGAGAAAATCCGTCTTCCCATTTAAAAACATCAGTGTAAAGCCTTTGGTTGGAACATCATTCTGACTACCAAAAGGTTGTGGGTTTATTTCCAAGTCAGGGCATATACCTAGGTTGTGGGTTCAATCTCTAATTGGGATGCATACAGGAAGCAAACATTCGATCTTTCTATCTCAATGAATGTTTCTCTCTATCTCTCTCCATACCCTCCCTGCCTTCCTCTCTCTCTAAATAATCAATAAACATATATTCCAGTAAGGAGAGAAGAAAAACACCAATGTATAAAAACAAAACAAAAATATTAACCAAGGTTATAAAGTATACAGTAGATGAAATAAAGGCAATGACTTGACATCAAAATTTGGCTTTGCCGTTTGTAATGTGTTATTTAACCTATCGGAACAGTTTACTCATTAGTACAATGAAATAATGATTGCTAACATCTAGGGTGGTTCTAAGAAGTGAATATTAGTGATGTTTGCAGTTAACAAATCTTTCAAAATTGTAGCTATTTTATTTGATCAAATGCTTGAGTCAAAATTATTCTGTTTACTCATAAGGTATTATGAACATATAAGAACAAAAGCCATTTTTAGAAGCAATGAAATCCAGTGATGGAATGAAACAAAAAACAATTACAGTTGTTCTCATGATGATGCTGTCAACTCATGAAACATTTCCCGGCCACTTTGAAGAACTTGTGCTGGGCACTAGAGAGGACTGCATGCAAGTACAAGTTTATAGCTCAAAAGAGAGGGTCAGCAAACTTTTTCTCTAAATAGCTAGATAGTAGATATTTTAGGCTTTGCAGGCCAGTAGATCTCTGTCGCAACTACTTATCACTGCCCTTGTAACATGGAAGCAGCCTTCATACCTAAACAAGGGGGTGTGGCTGTGCTGCAAACTCTATTTACAAAAACAGGAAGTGGGCTGGATTTGGCTTATGGACCATAGTTTGCTGATCCCAATTTAGAAGAAGAAATAAGGCAATTACACAAATTATTGCCCAGGAGACTCATGACTTGGTCAGAGATCCCACCAGCCTTGTTTACATTGAGAACACATTATGTTGCCATGCAGGGCGCTGGTCCCCATCTCACTTATTTTTCTATAACCTTTATTTGCAGCTAAGAATTGTTACTCCCACTTTGTAAGTGAGAAAACTGAGTTTCCGAAAATTGATTTAATTTCCCAGGAGAGATTAAAACAGAGTGCCTTAAAAATCAAAACATTGGGACAATACACAGAGATGTAAGATTGATAAAAGCTACATGAGGTGACAAACAACTCCTTAGGACTTGAATAGGTTGAAATAGGCTCAAGAAAATGCCAGATTCAGGAAATAACTTCAGACAATGAGAAATGCAGGCCATGATATGGCATGTGCAAGGAACAAGGAAAATTTCATTTTAACTAGAGGTTATGGAATTGAGTAAGGGCAAATGATATTGGAGTCATGATAGTGGGCCACACCAACACCATCTGGTTATGTAGTTTGGACTCTGGTAGGTAAAATCGAACCAAGAGAATTTTTTGTTTGCTTTAGCTTATTGGTGTCACACTTTTTGTTTGTTTTAGTTTTTAAAATGTAGATGGTATAAATCACAGATGTATTTTAGACAGACTGACCAATTCATGTATAAATTAAAAAGTAATTTAAAATATGGATTTGGATACTAAACTTGAAATTAAAACCATGCAGTTTCCATTCCTGATTCTTGTACTTATGCACCTAGGGAACCTATAGGTTCACCTGTAGAGTAAAAGTAACAATAGTTCACACCTCATAAAGTAAAAGATTTAAGTATCTCATCTCTGATTCAATCAATAAATAATAGCTAGAATATGCTACTACTTAAGAACTTTTATTTTAAAAATAAAAGGAGGAGGATGGAAAGGACAGAAAGCAAGAAAAATGAGGAGGAGCTGGGGAAAAGAGAAGAAACAAGGAGCCTACTTAAGAGATTATGTTAAAACCCTGGGTGATAGATGATGAGGCTGTAAAATACAATGTTAGTTGAAAAAGTTCCCTTAACACATATCTTCCTTACCAAATAATGTTTTGTGGATATATTTTCTACCACATTTTCTAAACTTTTTTTGTTATCTTATATTCTTGTTTTTTTATCTTATATTCTTTTTTTGTTATCTTATATCTCTAAAATCTACCCATCAATAGCTCTCATATACACATACTACCTCCATATATCTGTATCTCTCTATCTCTATATAACTATATCTGGATACATGTCTCCATATATGTATTGGTATAAATGTGTATATGTACATACAAACATCTGTGTATAATAATAAAAGGTTTCCTTGAATGTTGTGATGTGTTGCTTCAAGTGTCATTCTTTGTTCTACCCATTTTTCATTCTTCAGCCTCCTCAAGTGGCTGTACCTTAAGTGATATCCAATCCCCCATTTCTTCTTCAGAAACAGAGATGAGCCTGCACACTTCAGCTTCCCTTTGGAAAGAAACACTTTCCTATCTGAAAGGGAAGAAGCAAAGGAGAAAGTTTGTTGAAAAGGTGCCCATTCTTTCCTAAGAAAAGACAGTTCATTGTCCATGTGATCCAACTATAATTCAGGAATTTCTACATTTTCAAGTGAGTGCTTCATAAAAACTCATTGAAACAGACATATTTTAATCTTATTTATATACTTTAGGCAGTTTTTCCTTCCAACCAGAGAGTTTATGTGTATAACTTCTAATATAGAATATACAGCATCATCAATCATACATATTAATGGACAAAACACCAAAATTATTTTAATATGTCAAGCTGATTTACCTCAATCTTGAGTAAAAGGATTAATGCTTTTGAACATAGATTAACTTCAGATGAAATGAGTTTCCTGGCAGATCATGCCCCTGTATAATAAAATGATTCAAAATTCCAGGAGATAACATGGGAATGGTTGGAAGTTAAGAGTCTTGGGCCAGTTTGTATCATTGCCAGTTTTTCAAATGGCCAGACACAGCTAGATGACCAGCCTACAAAGTACAGCTGCTCAGCAATAATCTATATTTTTCAAATCTCATAAAGTCTTCATTGTGATACTTAAAGGAAACGAGCAATTACCAGCCAAGATGTCAGCCTCATCCATGAACTGAGTACTGAAGAGAATCACGTGGTCCATTTTCCGGTCCTTCAGCAAGTTCCACACTTGATGCCTTGAAAAGGGATCCAATCCAGCAGTTGGTTCATCTAACAGCAAAACCTGCAGAGGAGAGGTGTATATAAACAGATTTTCCAATAAGGTATATAGTTCTTCCAGAAAACATGTTGAAATCATATTATTTATATTTTAAAGGGCATTGTGGCTAGGGTTTTGTTTTTATATTTAATGTCCCGTCATAAATATTTTCTCACAGGTGTCCTCTGCAAATAAAAGGTTTGAACGACTACCAAAACCAAAAGTTTCATTTTTAAAAATTTGAATTCATCTCTAAATTCCCTCTGACTTACCTGAGGGTCTCCTAAAATGGCAATCCCAATGGTGAGTTTTCTTTTCTGTCCGCCACTTAAGTTTTGAGTGAGGACATTCTGAATATTGTTCATTTCCAGTTCCAGCAAAACTCTTCGTATCTAACCAAATGACAAAATTTGTGTCACAAACCAAAATTTTTTCTTTTTAAAATTTATAAATACAAAACTGTAAAGTGTAATGGTTAAAAGCACAGATGCTGAGCCAGACTGATTAGGTTTGAATACCATTCCACATTAACTAGCTGCATAGTCTTGGTCAAGTACCCTGCTTTCTTAAACCTCATTTTCTACCTACATAAAATGGGAATAGTAATAGTACCTACCTCATAGAGTGGTTGTGAGGAACAAATGATTTATTATATTTAAAGTTAAGGCTAATGCTTAGCATATTGTAAATTATTTGTAAATGCTAGATATTATCTAAATTACATTTCTTTGTCCAACTTTCATGCAATGATTTTACTCAAAGATAATTTAATAACAGCATAAAAAAATCAGTGGAAACAGAGTTAACAATCTCATTTTGACCAATATATTAGTTCTAACATATTTATGTACCTCTTGTTCCACTCTCTGTGGCTGGATTCCCTTTATTTTAGCAAAGAGCCTGAGATTTTCTCTCACAGTAAGGAAGTCAAATTGCACATTGAATTGCGGGCAAATTCCAGTGAGCTTGCTGATATTTTCTAGGTGAGCCATTTCCGAAAGTTTATTATTATACATTGTGACTAAACCTATAACAAAGATTAAAAGTTAATATCAGATTTTATTTAAGATTCTTCTAAATTAAAAGTCACTATATAGTCATTAACTACATTCTAGATACATGATTTTTATCTTCAGGGTTTATACAACACAATTCAGGCTATATATTATAAACTTCCATTTTAGTTGTACAGTATATAGCAGGGAGACAGATCCTTTATGCAGCTTTTTCCGTGAAGATATAGGCTATTTCTCTACCCCTCACAGTTAGATGTGGCTCTATAATAAGTGAAATTTTAGGAAATGTGATATAAGCAGAAGTGCCTCTACCCTGGGATTGCCATTTTTTGCTTTTGGGATCATGGACACCAATCACTGGGTGAAGAATCCCTGATGAGCTTCTGGGAGGATGAAAGGCCACGTAGGAAGAGAAGGTGGTGTGGCCCTAACTGGAGCTCCACATATATGAGTGAGGCTATGGTAAGGTGTCCAGGCTCAGCCACTTTAGTCCAGACAGAAAAACTGCCAGGAAACCCACAGAATCATGAGAAATAAACAAACATTTTTATTTTAAGCCATTAGTTTTGGGGATGCTTGTCTCGCTGCGAAAGCTAACGAATGCAATGGTAACTAATGGTAAAAATTGCAAACCTTTAAAGCATAGTACTATTAATTAACTTCCATTTTTTCCCTGGTAATCTGTGTTTTTGATTAATGATCAAAAGTACTTTATGTTAACAGCTGATTTATTTGTCAACCTGACTTCAGAGAAAAACCTCTTACCTTTGGTGGGAACAGATAACCCACTAAGGATGTTTAGCAGTGTCGATTTTCCAGCTCCACTGTGACCAAGTATTGCAGTGATTTGGCCTTCATATATATCGAATGCCAGATCTAGGGGGAAAAAATAAAAAAGAAGGATGGGAGAAAGGAAAAAAGGAAAAGAGGCAGAGAGAGAAAGATAACAATTCAAAGTACAAGTTTATTGTGGAGTTAAAGGTTTTTTTTTTGTTTCTCTTTGTGTGTGTGTGTGTGTGTGTGTGTGTGTGTGTGTGTGTGTTGCGTGTGTGTGTTTCCTTGAATGGTCATGTTTTCTAAAAATGAATATACTAGATTGTTAAACTCAAAATTAAAAAAAAACCTTTAATATATAGATATGCTGATCCTGTTTTGAAATTTTGAAATTACTTGCTTTAAAGCCAGGAAACATGTCTTATACTCCTAGGTTCACTAACATTGCCTGGTATATGATAGGTGGATATTAATATTTACTGAGTTGAGGGATAAATTAATAGTTCAGTAAATTGTTATGTGGATAAAAATCTTTTGATGTATATGACTTTTCTTTCACTAAGTAAAAATAGCAATACCCACAATAGCTCTGGAATCACAGAAGAAAAATTTGAGACTGTAGAAAACAACCCAGAATTGCCTTAGGCTACCTCAATATTACACAGTATATCTTTCAAATACATATATAGCTGAAACATGCTCCAATTTTTCTAACTTTTATGCAGTAGGAGTAATGCGTTGGAAAGGAAATTTTATCATATGGCTAAACAACTAATTTCAAATCTGAACTACCACCAGTAATTGCTCACCATGAGCAAAATAAAATATAAATAAATGTGAGAAAATTAAGATTAATATAATAACTAAATATTATTATTTTTACCTTTCAAGGCTTCTGTTTTATCAGAGTTTCCTTTGTATTCTTTGGTAACATTTCTGATTCTAAAATAAAGAAAAGAGATTTCAAGTTATGACCATATTCTTCAGTTTGTAATTCTAAGTTAGGTTGATGTGATGGATGGACCTTCTCTTCATGGTAGGAAGACCTGGGATTTTACTCTCATGCAGTCATGCTTGTGTGAGGGAACCAGCAAGAATATTTCTTCCTAGCTTTGGCTGCACATTAGCTTCACCTGTGAAGTTTTTAAAATTTACCTGTGCTAGGGACCCATCACCAAATCTCATGATTCCAACAACTGAGGTGTAACCTGACATTCATATTGAGAACCAGGAAGCCAGACCAAGAGGTAACATGGGCAGTGGATACTGAAGGACTCATCGTGAAGTACTGACTCAGGTTGCAGGTATCTTTGGTTATCCTGAGGCTAGGCCAGGGCCGGTAAGGGAGAGAGGCAAAAGTCATAATATGAGAGCATGGGTTTTACAGTTCTACCTAACTGAGCTCATCTCATCTATGACATTTAGTAGCCCTGTTACCTTCACCACGGTGCTTAATCTAGGTCAATTTCAGCTTTTGCAACCTGAAAATTTGGAGTGCTTCAAAGTTGTGTTAAAGGATGTGTAAAATATTTCATCTTGCATGCATAGTGCTCAGTTCTTGGTATATATTCAATGATGATTATGGTAATAGAAAACAATGGAAGTAATGTGTTAGGTGCTATTATAGACCTGGAATCCTAGGCATTTTATCTATGTTGTTTTATATATAACCTAGGTAAATATATAATCCATAAACTGAATCAACTTTATGTTTCTTATTTTGTCATCTATCCATCAAACAATTCAGGTTCTATTCATACTGAACTGTTTAGATTTTCTCATTTCTGTTTTAATTCCATTTTACCATCATTCTACAGTACTTATAGTTAGGTACAGTGCTAAAGATACAGAGCAATAAACATATTACACATCAAGTAAAGCCATTGCTTTGCTCCAAGCTGATCTGCTGGAGCTTAAACCTAGCTTTGGTCACAGGACAAATATAAGCATAAAAGATAAATATGGAACAGGTTAAAATGAAAAAATGAAATGGTTCTAGAAGCTCAGTAAGCTGGAGTAATCTGAGACAGTCACAGAGGGCTGATTGACATATGCTGGCTACAGAAGGATAAATAGGATTTGAATAGTCAGCGATGTTGAGAAATATCTTCTTTTTTATTTGGAAATAGAAGTTACCAGACTTTAACAAAACATATTCTAAAAAGCACATCTCCTGCAGTTTCCTTTGTGACTATCTCTGGGGCTTTTCTTCCTTCCTCTTCCCTACTCTTCCATCCTCTTTTGAAAGGCAATAAATAAAAGAGAAAAGAGAAATTTAAGAATTGGGAGAAAAAAATAGGACGTATATTAAACGAGGTGGGAGGAGAGAGTGAATAAATGAGTCCAGGCAAAGAAATGAATGAGGCTGAGGCTAAGGTCGAAAAGACAACAGATAAAAGATTGAGAATCTAGACAAGGGTTCTGTGGAAGTATCTCTGTGGGTGAAATCTCAGTTTGCATTTAACGTAAGCATCAACACAACCAAGGGTAAAGAAATTTTTCTTTCAGCTTGATCTGGGAAGGGATGGGCTAGCATGGAAGAGGTTAGGTGGGAGATATCTACAGGGCATTAAAGAGAACTTTGCTTGTTTCAGGTGTGAACTAGTAGCTCCTCAGCCTTTGGCCCACTTTCCACCTGCATCCTTTGTTACCTGATAGCTTCTTTCCCATGGAATTCTGGAGATACTGGTTCAAAAGAGTCATTAGATGAAGGATCAGAACCTATTTCATCTTCAAGAGCCACTCGATCAGCATTATGTTGTCGTGACCAGTATGAGGACTTCAGGAAAAACAAAGGCGAATATTGGTGCCCATATTCATCTGTAGAGCCAGGAAACAAATACTGAGTCAATCACCACATTAAGGGAGAGAGCCACGCCAATGCAGCAGAGCAATGCAAACTTTTGCCATTAAACCTGAACACATGGCTGACACAGGAAATACACATTTTGATACGTGTAGCCTCATAAGGAAAAAAATCATTAAGATGTCTCTCTATTGTGATCATTGTTCCCAAAGAAGGAATTGAAGCTATGACTTTAAAAAATTCCAGAGGAAGTTAAATAAATGTTAAGACTCTTCTTAACCTCAAGAAACCCAGATTGTGATACAAGTGTAACATATGCTTAATTCTACCTAGGGGTCCGGTTGTTACTATACTGGCAAAAGAAGAAGAAATTGAAAAATGACTATCAGATACATAAAATAATATTCCAAGAGAAGATAGAGTAGGATTTAACAAAAATAAGTGACATGCTGTAAGAAAGGGCGAGAATGGGGCAAAATTTCAATAAATTTAACACAGAGTGGAATTTTAAAAACCTAATTTGTATTTATGATTTATCTCATCTCCAAATTATAACTTTCCTCTGAAGCAAATTGATGATCTACTTTAAGAACATATTGTCCATGAATGTCTTTCTGGAAACTAATCCACAGTATATTTGCACATAATTATCACTTCTGTTTTCCTACATGTTAAGAGATACTATGAAATGGAAGAATTATATTTCTCTAATGTTCTGCAACTGACCTCCACTGTAAAGATTGATGGGTTTTAAACTTCTGTGTACTTTTCATATGTTCAGTCATTCATTCATGCAATAGATATATACTTAACACTTTCTCAATACCTGGCATATGGTATATTATTAGTCAGTACCCATCTTTTCCCCTTGATTAGGAAGCCTAGCAAATAAAAGCTGTAATTGGACACATTCTGTTATGAGATTTATTAATACATGATCCTATTATTTTATATAGGTAATTGTCATTACTATCACTCATACTTCTTATTTTTAAAATAATTTTTAATGAAGTCACCTTGTTCAAATTCATGCTTAATTAAATATAGGCTTAATGAATGGATGATACAAATAATTCCAATGGTATAATAAATGTATGAGCCCAAAATTGTAGATCCTGACATCTATTTTTTCTGGACTCTTCTAAAAGGCAGAGGTGGATATTTTTCCTAAAGGATTATCTAAAAAAGACAACATCATCCAGTCACCGTTTCAAGACCTTGTGCGTCTTCATTCTCACTCTTTCCCCTTCTTCCTTTCCTAAAACTGTTTAGTCAGTGATGACTTTTTGACCTGCTCAATGTGTTTATTTCACTAGTGATTTCATAATTTTTCCAGCTTTATTGAAGTATGATTGACAAAAATTGTATATATAAGGTGTATGATATGATGTCTCGTGAAATAATTACCACCAACAAGCTAATGTACATAGCCATCACCTCACGTAGTTTCCCTTTTTCTGTGTGCATCTGTGTATGGTAAGCAAACTTGAGATCTATCTTAGCCAATTTCAAGCATACAGTACATTATTATTAACTATAGTTAACCATGTTATACATTAGATCTCCAGAACTTCATTTTATAAATAAATATTTGTAACCCTTGACCAACATCTCTCATTTCTCCACCTATTCCTACTCCCAATCCCTGGTAACCACCATTTGACTCTGTTACAGTGAGTTTGACTTTTTTAGATTCCATCTATGAGTGAGGTGCTATATTTTCTTTCTATGTCTGGCTTATTTCACTTAACAGAATGTCCTTTGATTTATGCATGTTGTTGCAAGTGACAGAATTTCCTTCTTTTTTTAAGGCTGAATAATATTCCATTGTAGGTAGGGAGATAGATAGATAGATAGATAGATAGATAGATAGATAGATAGATAGATAGATGTTACATTTTCTTTACCTATTCACCCACTGATGAACACTTAGGTTGTTTCTATATCTTGGCTGCTGTGAATAATGCTGCAATAAACATGGGAGTACAGATATGTTTTTGAGGTAGTGATTTTATTTCTTTCCTTTGAATATATACCAGAAGTGGGATTTCTGGATTATTTGGTATTATAAAGGCCCTTGGTGTTCTATTTTGAATAGGAAATGTGGAGGTAAAAGACACAGACTCTGCTTTTGATTATAAAAGGAGGAAGAAAAAAAAAACCCCAGCATTTCAGCCACAACTATTTCCTGAGTCCCTAGAATGCACCAGGCACTAAGGTGCTTAGGGTCCATCTGTGAACAAAACCAGTCCCTGCTTTTGTGGAATTCATATTGTTTTATGTTGTAAGGTGATAAAAATGAAAATTTATCACCTATTGACTTTCCTATTGTGAAACCACATGGAGACTTTTAAAAATATATATGTCCTGGTCCTACCACTAATTAAATAAATCAGCCTCTCTTGGAGTTGAGTTGGGCTTGGAAGTTTTTTAAAGTTCCCCAGGTGATTCTGTTGTATAGCCAGGGCTCAGAACCACTGAGCAAAGTAGTTAGACAAAGCAGCTATAAAGTTCCACAAGTATCAAGCCAGACCCATTTAGGAACTAGCATTCTAAGCATCTCTTAAAAAAGAAGCCATACACTTAGAAGAGAGTGAAGCTCAAACAAAAGTTAGGAACTCTATAAGCAAAATTCAGGCTTTAGGTCTGACCAGTCAAAGAGCAAGAGAGAAATAAAGAACTAATTTGGTCAGTGGCAATGACCTTCCTCTTGGCAATGACCTTGATGCACAAAGTAGTTCTTAAAATACATAAACCAGATGTGTGTCAGGAGATTTGTTTTAGGAAATAAAATTTTTGAAATGGTGTTCAATTTTAATTGTATCACTACTCACTTGGCAAAATTTTTTCAAAATAAATCATCAGTGCCAGATAGAGGACAATATCAAAAGCCAACATAAAATTTGTTGCTGTTATCTGATTTAAGTAGTCCGATGGATCGGGAAGTGCGTTAGAATTCAAATCATAGTCCACACGTAAAAGCTGAAAGTTAAAAAGTAATTAGTTAAAGGAAGTTTGGTTTATGATACATTTCAAACAGGTTTAGCATGAAAATGAAAGAGCTACTCTTTGCCCCATACCAACAATACAAAGTTGAATAAGACTGCCTGCTTCTCAGGTCTCAGATCTCCTGGAAAGCATGCGCATGTCGCCAGCTGTGATGGAATTTAGCAGTGGCAATGGTTTAAAAATGTTCCAAATGAAGTCAAGGAACATATAGCAAGGACTCATGGACAAAACCAAAGGGGAAGAGCTGAGGGAGGGAAGGAGGGAGGGGGCGAGGGAAAGTGGTGGGGGGTAGGCAGAGACAAATGTATTTAAAAAATTTTAAAAAATGAAAAAAGAAAAAGAAATGTTTTTCACTTTTTTTATGTGGCTAGGTCTTATTTTCCTGAATAAAGAAGGATACTTCTATGATTTACTTGAAAAAAAAAATGTTCCAAATGAAAAAGGAGGATTAGGAAGAGGTCAGAAAGTATGGGGAAAGATGACATTTGAGCTCAGCCTTAGGTAAATTTTTACCAAATAGAACATGGGAAAAAGGTGTGACGTTCCTTGAAAATGGCTCATGAGACAGAATTTACATTCTTGGAAAAGTCACTGGTGTGTTTAAGGAGAATGAGTGGCAGAGGGGGGCTGACCTGTAATGTTCAAGGTAATAGTACTTTAAATGAACAATCCTTTTGTTAAGCACTAAATAATGGATATGCAATGACTGGCATTACCATTTAATTGGAGGGATGGTAAAGTAAGTGAGGCTCGGATGAAGTGAAATGATATATTATGAATAGATATGTAATTTAATTTACTATGCAGTACATAGTAAAGTGTTTTTTATTTTGAATTTTCTTTTGTTTTACTTTATGGTTTTTACAATCATGTGTGCTGTTCAACGACTAAGTCAAAATATGAAGTGGAAGATTTGTTTAGTATTAGATTTGTAACATCATGTCCATATTTAATAGTAGCCAAAGAAAATACTCTAAAGAATTATATATTGGCCTTCTATTTTTTTTTTTCACTCACTCCATGGCTTATTTTGCTGGGCTAGATACTTCCAAAGTTTTTAAAAGTTCACAATAGTCTTTATTAGAGTTTCATACCTTATAATGCTGAGCATGGAAATGACTACAGACAATTAAATTCCAGAGAGGAGACACATATAGGGTTTATACATAGTAAACCAATAGTTTATTTTTATTTAAATATAATTTGTTTTATTTTATAGTCTCATGGCCTGAGATTTGACTTATTCATATTCCTCAGGGTATAGAGCATTATACCTATACCTATACTCAATTTCTTCAATTGAGTTTCAGGTGATTATTATAACTAATCTCACCAGGATGTTGTTTGAAGACACTTATCTATGATTGCATAACAAATATAACCAAGATTTAACATGTTGGTGTTTTATTTTAATAAACTAAATCATGTAATACAAAAAAATTCCAGAGAGGAAAGATGGTTCAGAAAGATCATTAATAAACAAGTAGATGGTTTCTCACCTGGGCCATTCCAAGCATGAAGGCAAAAGGGCTAAGACAGCCTAACAGCCACTCCAAGGATGTAGGAAGGTGTCTGTATAATACCGTGAATCCTAGACTCCCCCAAAAGACAGTGAGAAGGAACACGACCAGGCCAGTGAGAAAAGATTTCTTTATCAAGACGCTCATTAGAAAAGCCAAAGCTATCTAAAATGAAAGAAGATGCAGTTGGTTTATGTTTTCCACAAATTATTATATAATATAATATATTTATTATATATATTGAATATATTTACTTATATAGTAAAATAAGAAATTGAATATACAAAATCAGAGTTATATAATATTATTAGTCTATGTATGAAATACAAAACAATGACCCAAAATTTGCATTACAAAACACTACTGATCAAATACCAGTCTATAGACTTTCACATGCAAACACAGCAGGCAGAGAAGAAAAGAGATATGGAGACTAATAAGCAACTTGAAAACCAACACTTGATCCTTAGGGTAAGAGTGAGATGGGAAAAATAATTTAATTTACCAACTTACCAAAGACAATCCATAGAGGAAAAAGTGGATGAAGACCACCATGAAGCCAGTCCAAATTATAAACTGGACAGATTTTATAATAAGCGCCAAGAGAAGGCTAGTAATGAAGATGTAACCAGCATAGAGCAAACCCCAGGAGAGCCTAAAATGAGAACAAAATGTTATTTTAGTATTCCACGTTCAATTGGAAAGAATTTACCAATGGAGTCCAACATCATCAATTCATTCATTCTAATCATACATTCAATTATGCTTATCTTATATTATATTTATGATTATAAATATCCAGCAGATATTTATTGAGAGTTTAGGATATATAAATACTAAGTAAATGTTGTAGAAAGAATTCCTAAGAAATTAAGAATATTCTTTTTCCTAAAATTAATTCCAGAAACACACACACATGCACACACGCACATCATTATGAGAAAAGGAAAGAACAGGCTTCTAGATTGATTTTGCTTCTACATTTTCTCTGCTACATTGTTACTCTGTGACCTTGAACACACTCTGTAACTCCTCTAAGTCTTTTATTGTTCTGGACATTTGGAATAACACTACAGTGAGGACTCAAAGAGGTCATGTCTATGCAGGACCCTGTCCAAGTAAGCGGTAGCTTCTCGGTGAATCTCAGATCCTTTTCTGTTCTCTGGGGGTAAGGAAATTCATGAATTTCCTTGGAGATAAAAAATTTATTCTGTATGTATAACTCTGTCACTTCTCTCTTTTTCCAAAAACTGTTCTGCCTTTCTCTGAGTGTATACACGAAAGAGTCTACATACTTGCCTTTAACTTTATTCACTTTCTGTTAAGCTAGGATAGTTTACTTTCCTTTATTCAGTTCCTTTAATCTTGTTTATTAATATTCTTTGAAGGGTATAATGTAATAATATTAAAAACAAAAAACAAAACAGCAGTTGAACCAACAAAATAATAGCTGACACATTTAGCAATTATTTTGTGAGGGATAATGTTTTAAGAGCCTAGCAAATATTAAATCATTTATTCTCACAGTAGTTCAAAGCAGAAATACTGTTATTTTCCTCATTTTATAGACAAAGAACCTACTAAACAAGGATGCTAACTAATTTTCCAGTCCAGGCGTTTTGGCCCTCGAGTCTTTAGATTTCACTATTTCACTATACTTTTTTTTTTATTGACTATTAATTCAATAAAGAGGTCAATTTTGATTTGTAGGTTTTTATTCCAGCCTCTGGATTTGTTTCCACATGCACAATTCACCTGGCTCTCTTGCCTCTCTGTTATTTCACTTCTTTCTCACTATAAACATCACCTCTCTGCCCTTTCAGTCGATTATTCACAAGTTCTCACAAAGGACTTTGCCTATACCTGGAATTACTAAACTTCTGACATTTTACATTCAAACTACCCAGCTCCTATTTACCATCCTGTTCTGCCAGTTTTCTCCCTCAAGTGTGTCCATCATACCTGATCTTCAAAAAAGAGCTTCTGATCCTTGACCTATTTTTTTTCCCTTTGAGTCTCATCCTGGCTTAAATCCCACTCCAGCTTAGACACCAATGTCTATCATTTCTCCCACACTCTTATCTGTAGACTCACTGGCTATCACCCATTACCCCTGCTTTGCAGTCACCCAGGAAACGCAAACTGGATGTCCTTTCTTCAGTCAGGGATTTAGAATCACCCCCAGCTTTGGCCTGGTAAGCATTATAGTAAGGACAATTATACCAGTCATAGGAAAAAGGTAGAAAATCATTGCTTCAATAATGATGCTTTGAAGAAGCCCATGTTCCCTGAATTTCTGTATTTATTTCCTTGTGCCACGCTTCACTCACCAGAATGCTGCATTTCGAAGACCCATCATTGTCATCAAGCCCTTCATCCTTTTCCTCTCTCTTGTAACATTAATAGAAGCATAGTAAATGAATGGGGAAAAGGAAATAATGCAGAAGAAAATGAAGAAATCAGTCAGTATCCCATTGTGACTAACAAAGGGATGTATCTTCATATTTTTTCCAGTAACTGACATCAATTCCTCCATCACTGAGTGATTTGTTGTGACCTGAAGAAAGACATTGATACCCACAATTGTATATTCATGGATGACAGCTTCCGTTTTCTTTCTTTTCCTGTGACCACATAATGGGCCATGTGCATCTGAGGCCAGTCCACCTTTTCACTTCCGTGTTCTACCACTGGTCCACGTGGAGCCTCCACTCCAGGTGTCCTGAGCTACACACTGTTCCCGACATTTGCTACGTGTTTTACCACCCCCCTACCTAACATTGCCTAATGATTTGCTTGATGTGTCATTGTGACATATATTCAGTAAACCCTTACCTCAAGCTTCAGTTTTATATGTCATTTTAATTAGGAATTCTTTGTTTGTTTATTTATGAGGACATTATTAACACCTCCATGATAATCTACTCCCCTCTTCTAATAATTTTCTTTTTATATGCTCGGCTTCCAGACAAGGGTTTCTTCTTTGAGGAGAAAATTTCTCTTCTATTTATGTATATCCCCTGTGGCACATAGAACTTAAATAAACTCTGTTGTAAAGAAATCATTGAGTAAAAGGAAAAAAAAAAAACCAAGGCAATCAATTTATATTTTCTTTGATGAAACTTTTGATGCTGTTAATCTGCCTTGACCATTTGTTTGCACTGGATATGTTGTACTCACTTCTATAATAGCAGCATTTATGACCGCCTGAAGAGTCACAACACCGTACTTCCAGGAGCTGGTAATTGCACAGTAAACATCTTCGTCATATGTGTCATAACAAGGAGCTTTAAGGGAAGAGAAAGCATAATTAAATGGATCAGTTCAGTCCTCGTTATGGGAAACAGTGGACTTTACAATGGCCCGAAATTCCAACTGTTCTTATTTTGACTCAGGACTTGTGAAAACAAAAATTATAGTAATAAGTCTCATAGTCATGCAAGCAGAGAACTCCTAGGAAATGATAGGCATCAAACTATAATACACACGCTAAATTTGTTCACATTCCCTTTGTGCTTCTTCACCACTCAAGATTTCTGTTGAGCTCTTCTCTGATTTTGTGATTTTATTGTGAAAACAGTATCATCTTATGTTTTTCAAAGTTAGTAGGGTTTAATACGGACTGAGGAAACACTACCCTGAAGTTTTTGTCTAACATTGGTTATAAGGCAGGCATAATGAGCAAATGTAAGTTTGGATGAGATAATTTGCTATGTGTAAATCTTGTCAATCAGAACACCTTTTAAAGAAAAACAAATTTTTTTAAAAAGGCTTACCAGTCCATTGACTATGAAATGACATTAAGGAGATATCATTTAATATGTCAAATTAAAATGGAGTATAGGAATTAAATACATCTTTCTTTAAAATTTTAAGTATTTGAAATCATTTTGGAACAATTTAGATATAAAAATGATCTGTGACAATATACTGAGCACATACGTATCTGTGGTCACTATAAACACAGCCGGCGTGCCCCGTGTGCTGTGCAGTCTTACCCTTTTCCTGCTCCCAAGTCTCCAACCAGTTGCTGCTGTGAACTTTGCATCCATATATATGCCTTTACATTTTTACTTTGTATCCCTAAACTACATGTATAGTTTTTTAAATTTTAAGCTTTATTTAAATCTGATAACTCATTATAGTCATTATCGGCACTCTGCTTCTTTTGTTCTATATTATGATTTTGAAAATTGTATAAATGGCTCATTTTTCTTATGATCATATAGAATCCCATCACAAGAATGTAATTCAATCTGTATATTCTCCTGTTGATGAAAATTTGGTTAGTTCCCATTTTCTTTTTACTATTACAAAAAGAAAGCTGTTGCCATGAAGATCCTTATCTATGTCTTCTTGTGAGTATGTGTATATCAGTTACGACAGTCTACTATATGCTTCAGTGACAGACAAGCCCCCAATCTCAATGGCTTATCATAGAAATGGTCCATTGCTCACTCAGGCTACAAATTCAAAATAGATCTTGGGAAGAAGGAGCAGGGGTTCTCTATTCCACATTAAACTAAGGGTCCCAAGATGATGGTGCTTGCAGATGCTGGTGAAAAAAAGTTATAGAGAACTCACATCTGCTTTTTAGTGTCTTGAGTCTAGGTATCTGGTCATAGCTACAAAACTTAATTATCCCATACCCTCAGGAAGGAGAAGAGAATAGGCTGCAAGTCCTTTTAAAAAAATGATTATAAGAGAAAGTTTATTTAGAAAGTCACAGAGGTAGAAGAAGTGAGCCATAGAAGAAATGCGCTCAGGAAACAACTTACAACACAAGAAGGAAGGTTAGGGGGAGGGGGAGAGGAAGAGAGAGAGACAGAGAGACAGAGAGACAGAGAGTCTGAAAGGAAGAGATGGAGAGAGAAACATTGATTTGTAGTTCTGCTTATTTATGCACTCATTGGTTGACTCTTGTATGTGCCCTGACCAGAAATCAAACCCGCAACCTTGCTGTATCAGGATGATGCTCCAACCAACTGATTTGCCCAGCCAGGGCTCTATGGTTTCTTTTGATAAAGAGAATTCCTTAATTTGGGTCTAGTTAAATTTATCAATCTTTTCTTTTATAGATCACATTTTTTTTTAAAGAAATGATTTTCTAGCCCACATGTATAAAGATATTGTCCTATATTGATTTCCAAAATGTTTATAGGCTTGTTTCTTCTCATTTAATTCTTTACCTGGATTGGTTGTTTCATGTGTGATAATTTCATTTTGTTCTTTATGGAAAGACAATTTCCCTAGTACTAACCTGCAATGTCTTCTCAGTCATACATTCATTTTCATGTTTATATCAAAGCTTTCTTCTGCTTCATTGATCTATATGATTATTACTATGATAGTAACACACTGTCTTAATCCTTAACTTCATTCTTTTTAAATAACATGTTAGCTATTCTGCGCTCCTTTAAGAGGTATATTTTAGAATAAATATAGCAATTTATATGAAAAGATCTATTATGATTTTGACCAGAAGTAGAATAGGACCCTGAAGAAATCTGGGCAGAATTCACATCTGCAGCAGTAGGCAGAATTCCAAAAATAACTGCTTGCCTTTATATAATACCCTCTCCTTTTGTGTGGGTAGAATCTATGAATAAGAGGATATAACAGCTCCATGATTATATTACAAGGCACGATTGACCTTAGGGAGATTATTCAAATGCCTAATCTACTCACGTAAGATCTTTTCTTACTCTGTTTTTTTTAATTGTATTTTTTCCATTACCATTTAACCCCCTTATACACTTCTCCCCCTACAATCACCACACTGTCGTCCATGTCTAGGAGTCCTTTTTCCTTTTGCTCAATCCCTCTATCCCCTAATCTACCCCCTTCAACCAATAGCCATTATCCTGCTCTGTATCTATGAGTCTGTCTCTATTTTGCTAGTTAGTTCAGTTTGTTCATTTGATCTTTCAAATCAGTTTTCTCTAGCTGGTGGGAGAAGAGGAAGTCAGAAAGATTTGAAGAAAGAAAGATTCACTGTGCCCTTGCTGGCTCTGAAGATGGAGTGCTTCACATGCAATAACCAGAGCGTGGTCTCTAGTTACTGAGAAGGACCCCCACCTGACAATCAGAAAAGAAATGAGCAACTCAGTCCCACAGCTGCAAGGAACTGAAGTCTGTCAAAGCATGAATGAACTTCGAAGTGGGTTCTTCCCAAGAGCCCTAAGAGAAGAATTAAGCCTGGTCAATACTTTTATTTTAGCTTGTGAGAACCTAATCAGAGACCCAGTCAAGCCTGCCTACTTACAGAACTGTAAGCTAGCCAATGAGTGTTGTTTGTGATGATTTGTTACACACCCACAGAAAACTAATACAGTATCTATGAGAAATGTCTCTGGGAACATGGCATATCCTTCCATTTACTTGGATCTGTTAAAATTAAGTTTTATACTTTTATCATAATAGTGATCTTATCTTAAATTTTAGTTGCTATTAGCACTGTTTCTTATGGTTCTTTTTTCCTTTCTTATGTTTTTGAGTCTATCGTTTATTTTTTTAACATTTTAGATATGCTTATTTTATATTCTTAGTTTTATAATGCCACTGGGAAAGATGTATCCTGCTTTGTTGGTTCTCCTGACACTCACTTATGGTGCTTTAACTTTTCATATTGGACTGTACATTAATATTCAAAGATATTTGGCCTAAGTTGAGGTTGTGTTTTTCTGTAGAAGACTTATAACCTCTTCTGCTAGGCACCCCAGTACCTGAGCAACCCAGGTTCACATCCCCTATACTTGTTGTTGGAATTTATCAGAACAGGCAGTTGAGGTGGATAAGAATCCCAACCTCAAGGGAAGGTTGGGGGAGTGCTTCTGTCATCCAAAGGCCAGAATGAGCAAACAAGCTTCCTTTTGTTCTTCCTTTGCCAATAGGTAATTTTTTTCTTGTCCACTCTTTTACCGAGTCTATAGCCTTTCCAGGTTCCAAATTAATACAGGAATTTTCACCTCATGTAAATTCACTTGTCCTAATGTAGCTACTGAAATCTAAACCTCTTGGTTAGTGAGATTGGCAAAATCTTAGAGCATTAATAATGAATCCCTCTGAATTTGATGTCATCTTCACGTGGGCCCCTTGGCGTTTTCTTTACTTTCATGTAGGCTTGTTAAACATGTCAAGGGAAGTTTGTTCTATTTCACTCATAAACAACTTTATCTTTCTTCAGCAATAATATATTACATATACTCCTATGTATACATATGTGTGTACCTATACATATATGTATATATCAATATGAACACACATATGTAAAACTACTATATAATATAGTATTGTATACCCCAAAATCAACGCACATTTTTGAAATGTGTTCATTGGGCTTTTGACATCACTGTTACAGATAAAGATTTTAAAATTCACTGTACCAACATCTATTCCCACGTATAGCTTATGACATAGTTGAAATAGAAAGCAGCGGAATAGGACAGCCAGACAGTTACCTGTATGATCCCTGTGTTCCTTCTTTGTTAATGTTCCATGTCCCATACTGAATTTCAAATGATATGAGAATGTATTAGAAAAGATGACTCTTACTACTGTCCCAGGATAATCTTTCATGAATTCTTCAATACTTTCTACATCAGACACTCCAAAGACTTCTTTACCTGCCATTACAAGATGGGAATATTATTGTTAGTAAATTACTAGGAGACTATCTTCACGTTTCATGTTCAATTGCTTTTACTAAAATTCTTTATGGAAATAAAATGAAATCAAATATTGACTTGGTGTAAGTCAGGAACAATAAAAGTTGGGGAGAGACATTTCTAAAATTTTATCCAGATAATGTATAATCAGAAGGCATATATGAAAATTAGTTATTTTCATATGTTGAAATGATTGAACCCATTTCAATTACATATAATATACCATACCAATTAAACTATTCACAGAAGAATTAGCATAACAGTAAATCTAAAATGGTAGCATACACACACACACACATACATACAAATCACAATAAGTACTGGTTTATATCAGGTGGAAATAACTATATAATTTCATTTTTCTTTAACAGTGCTCACAGTATGGTTAATATACTGGAAAAAAGAGTGAAAACTTAAAAAATATGTTGAGCGACTATGTTGATATCACTAAAATAATCCCTCTTTTTTGTTAATATTGTGTTTGGTGCCACACAGATGCTTTATGAAGACTGAAAAATGAGAAGGAATACATGAAAATTTCTAGATTGGGGAGAGAATGTCAAAAATAAAGGTGGAGGGAGTGCCAGCATGTATTTTGATAGAATTAACTCTTCTTTTCCCCTGGAATCTAGTCCTTAAATATGTACAATCATGATCAAGTCACTTAATCTTTGTTATTCAATTTCTACATTTGTAAAACAAACATAACAATATCAATTATTAATAGTTAAGATTTTAATACATAATACAGATACAAATATAATACAGAATAATACTATTATAATATTCTATTACTATAGAATAAAGTCTCTAAAAATCTAGCAAATAGTACCATTTAATGAATATTCATTATCATAATTGCAATTACCTTGTATAATAAAGATAACAACATATTCATTGTAAAGACAAACTCTAAGTAAAGATCTTGCACACAGTAGTCATTTAATAAATATTTATTATCACAATTGCATGTGACTTTTAACAAAGGGGTTGTTGAAAAGGACAAGTTCATGACATTGGGACCCTCAGGAAGACACTTTCAAACAGAGTGAGAATAAACACATCTCAGGATAGACTAAGAGACTAGGTCTTAGGTGGACTGTTGGATCAGGTTAAGATTTTGAATCAAAAGTGGATTTAGTGTTTGTAGGCAAGATGCACACTGTAGACACTCATTTGAGTGGAAATAACGGTGTGACATTTGATGAGGTTCCATGGGAAAGCCTGGCATGTCGACATCCATCCACCTGGCCTGTGTGCAGACAAGCACGGACAGGAAGGAAAGGTCCCACATAATCTGGAACTGTAGTCACAGAAACTCCAATGGCAAGGGCCTGAATGCAAACTATAGAGTGGGTGACTTCTGGATACTGAATTCAGATAAGGGGTCAGAATCCAAACACAGCATTAATGTTTACCTAGGCTAGAGCGGAATCATGGACAGAGGTTGACAAACAAACAAACAAACAAACATGCATTATATAACTTCCAGTGATTGAGAGGAGCAAGAGTCATAGGTTCCCTTAACAATAATACTCTTGCATAGGGAATTATGGTGCCTGATATTAATACTGCGTAACTTCTAAGTCATGTTTTTAAATTCATTTAAAAAATTGAGATTTAATTTCACAAACTTCATCCTTTTACCCTGTGCAATTTCATGGTTTTCAGTATATTCACAAAGTTGTGCAAGCAGTCAGCCACTTTTAAATTGTAACTCAATTCACATTTATGGGGCAATCACCATAGATTCCCCTTTGAAGTTTGCATTTGTATCTGTAAAAAACAAACACAACTTGCTGTTTTATTTGCCTGACATACAGTCCTCCTTCTAGTAAACACCCTAAAATTCATCCAGGATACTGCCCCTCTTCCATTCACAAAGCATGTGGTTTGGATGTAATTCACAGGGTGACCTGGGAACCCAACCACAGAGCAATGACAATACTTTATCCCCCTTCCAGTGAGATTAATTCTTGAAGGATCAAGATGAAGATTTCTCTAAAGTAGACCATTTGGTTCAATGGGCATAATCTCTGAAATTATTTTGAACTGTTGGGAAAGATCTGTATTCCTTTCACTAGAGTTGTTTATGTGGTAGAGCTTAAAGCTAGAGATTCTGAAGACCGGCTCTGCATCTACCTGGAGAGAGCCAACCTGTGAATGAAGGCAGCATGCATTACCATAGACCTGAGAAGAAGAGACATATTCCTTCCTTTATTGTTGACACTCTTCCACCCAGCTGTGCACTGATACTTTTTTTCTTTAAGTTATACAAAAGATGCTCCTTTTTCTTAAGATAAGATGACTTAGGATTCTTTCACTCTCAACTGAAATATTCATGAAATTTGTAATATCAATAACCTTATTTTGAATATGGTGGTAGTGAGACTCAGACAAGTTGACGCCTTGTAAAATGTACAATAGACCTAACGCAGAGCTACTTTAGTCAAGTGTTCTCTGACTCTCTGTTCAGTTCTCTTGCCTCTGCGCTAGGCTGCTTCACCTCAAATTTCAGGAAATTGTTACAGACATGATCTTGACAGTAAGAATGTTCATCTTAGTTTTCATTGGAAAGTACCCTAACACTTTCACCCAATGAAGGGTGAAAACTTGAAACATAAAATACTCTTTAATAGAATCTTCTACTATAGTAAGACAATCTTTTTGTTAGTAATAGGTGAGGATAAAATTCCTATATTCAAATTTAAGAAGAGAAAACACTGGTTGTTTTTTGTAGATAAGAATAAGCAAATACTAGAGCCACAGTCTCATTCTAGGAACAAAGGCTTCCACAGCTACCAGTCAACAAATCGCTAAACACCTCTACTCTCAATGTCTATTGAATTGTGTATTCTATGCATCCCCAAATCCTACACAAGATCAGCAGATTTCTATTTTGAAAGACTATGCACTTCAAGTGGTAATCCCTTGTTGGCAAGAAATGCATTCACAGTTTTGACTTTGATATTGAGTGATGGCTTATTTCCTACAAAGGACAAAGAGAGCCACATTACACATAATCTAGAAATTATGACAATTGACAAGATTTATCAACTGAAATGCAAATGAAATGCATGCATCTGCAGTCAAATGAACCAAATATTGACATCAGGGGTTCATCTTAGGTTGCTAGAAAACTCACCATTTACAGAGGAGGATGAGGCTACTTTATTCATTATCTGTTGGCTTGTATGGGTGATAGGTGTGTATGCAATAGTAAATGAAGATAGGTTAAATGAATCTATCCGTCCCAGGTCCATGGTAGGAAATGAAGAAAAATCATAAACTTCATGACTATTAGGATATAGGTACAGAGAGAGTAGTAGCAACAATGAGGACAACCATTCCTAGACAATGCAAGAGAAAAAAATAAAGAAAACAATGATTTCAAATCAGTCATCCACAACCATTTGGTCATATATTCATCTGATTCACTTTTCTAATTTCAATATATTTCACATCATAAACCATTAAAAACATGGACAACATGAATTTCAGCAGTTTCTGCCATTCCAATGAACTATAAATAGGAATTTAAATTTTTGATCCACAGCACCAGTCTATTTTTTTTTAATTTTATTTTAATTTATTTTTTCAAATACATTTGTCTCTGCCTACCCCCCACCACTTTCCCTTGTTCCCTCCCTCTTTCCCTCCCTCAGCTCTTCCCCTTTGGTTTTGTCCATGAGTCCTTGCTATATGTTCCTTGACTTTCCCCTTCCCTTCCTTTTCTCTGCCCTCCCTCCCTCCTTCCCTCTTGTCTCTGTTGATTTCTTTTCCTTTCAGTGTTGCTGGTCTTATTTTCCTTGCATCTTTGTATTGTTGGTTAGGTTCCACTTATAGGTGAGATCATATGGTATTTGTCTTTCACTCTCTGGCTTATTTCACTTAGCATAATGCTCTCGAGTTCCATCCATGCTGTCGCGAAGTTTAGTAGTTCTTTTTTTCTTTCTGCTGCATAGTATTCCATTGTGTAAATGTACCATAATTTTTTGATCCATTCATCTACTGATGGGGATTTAGGTTGCTTCCAACACTTGGCTATTGTAAATTGTGCTGCTATGAACATTGGGGTGCATAGGTTCTTTTGAATTGGCATTTTGGGATTCTTAGGGTATTGCCCCGGAGGGGAAACCCTGGATCAAAAGGAAGTTCCATTTTCAGCTTTTTGAGGAAATTCCACATGCTTTCCACAGTGGCTGCACCAGTCTGCATTCCCACCAACAGTGGACTAGGGTTCCCTTTTCTCCATAGCCTCGCCAGCACCTGTTGTTTGTTGATCTGTTTATGATGGCCATTCTGACCGGTGTGAGGTGGTACCTTATGGTGGTTTTGATCTGCATTTCTCTGATAGCTAGTGATTCTGAGCATCCTTTCAAATGCCTCTGGGCTCTCTGTATCTCCTCCTTGGAAAAGTGTCTGCCCAGGTCCTTTGCCCATTTTTTGATTGGATCATTTGTCTTCTTGGAGTGGAGTCGAGTGAGTTCTTTATATATTTGGAGACCAAACCTCTATCTGATTTATCATTAGCGAATATATTTTCCCATACAGTTGGCTCCCTTTTCATTTTGCTGATGCTTCCTTTAGCCATGCAGAAGCTTCATATTTTGATGAGGTCCCACTTGTTTATTCTTTCCTTTATGACCCTTGCTTTAGGAGACATATCAGTGAAAAAATTGCTGCGTGGGATATCTGAGAGTTTCCTGCCAATGTTCTCCTCTAGGACTTTGATGGTGTTGTGACTTATATTTAAGTCTTTTATCCATCTTGAGTTTATTTTTGTGTATGGTGTCAGCTGATGATCCAATTTCAATTTTTTGCATGTAGCCGTCCAGCTCCCCCAACACCATTTGTTGAAGAGGCTGTTATTGCTCCATTTTATGCTTCTGCCCCCTTTGTCAAATATTAGATGCCCATAGAGACCTGGGCTTATTTCTGGGCTTTCTATTCTGTTCCACTGGTCTATGGGTCTGTTCTTGTGCCAGTACCAGATTGTTTTGAGTATAGTGGCTTCGTAGTAGAGTTTGATGTCCGGTATTGTGATCTCTCCTACTTTGTTTTTCTTTCTCAAAATTGCTGAGGCTATTCGGGGTCGTTTATGGTTCCATATAAATTTTTGAAATGTCTGTTCTATTTCTGTGAAATATGTCATTGATATCTTAATAGGGATTAGGTTGAATCTATAAATTGCTTTGGGTAGTATGGACATTTTGATGATATTAATTCTTCCAATCCATGAGCACGGTATATGCTTCCATTTATTTGTGTCTTCCTTAATTTCTTTCTTCAATGATGTATAGTTTTCTGCATACAGGTCTTTTATGTCTTTGGTTAAATTTATGCCTAGGTACTTTATTTTTCTTCTTGCTATATCGAATGGTATTTTTTTTTTTCTGATTTCTTCTTCTTCTATTGCATTGCTGGTGTACAAAAATGCCTTTGATTTCTGAGTGTTGACTTTGTATCTTGCTGTTTTGCCAAATTCACTTATTAGGTTGAGGAGTTTTTTGGTAGAGTCTACAGGGTTCTCTATGTACACTATCATGTCATCTGCAAACAATGATAGCTTTACTTCCTCCTTTCCTATTTGGATGCCTTTTATCTTTTTCTCTTGTCTGACCACTGTGGCTAGGACTTCCAATACGATGTTGAAAAGAAGAAGTGAGAGCGGACATCCTTGTCGTGTTCCTGATCTTAGTGGGAAAGCTTTCAGTTTTTGCCCGTTGAGTATGATATTGGCTGTAGGTTTTTCATATATGGCCTTTATTATGTTGAGGAATGCCTCATTTATTCCCATTTTGCTGAGTGTTTTGATCATAAATGGGTGCTGTATCTTATCGAATGCTTTTTCTGCATCTATCGAGATGATCGTGTGGTTTTTGTCTTGTCTTTTATTTATGTGATGTATCACATTTACTGATTTGCATATATTGAACCATCCCTGCATACCTGGGATGAATCCCACTTGATTGTGGTGGATAATCTTTTTAATGTATTGCTGGATGCGGTTTGCCAATATTTTCTTGAGGATTTTAGCATCTATGTTCATCAGCGAAATTGGTCTGTAGTTTTCTTTCTTTGTAGGGTCTTTATCTGGTTTTGGGATCAGGGTAATGTTGGCCTCATAGAAAGAGTCTGTGAGTCTTCCCTTCTCTTGGATTTTTTGGAATAGTCTGAGAAGGAGAGGGGTTATCTCTTCCTTAAATGTTTTGTAAAATTCTCCTGCACAGCACCAGTCTAAAGCATGCACTGAGAGGCAAGCTATCATACATGATCATCAGCTGTTGTTACTGTGGTGACTGACTTATGCTATGCAGGCAAACCTCGTTTTATTGTGTTCTGCTTTATTGTACTTCCCAGATGGCACTTTTTTTTTTTTAAACAAATTAAAGGCAAGGGCCTCTGCCAGAAGAAAGATTATAACTACATTTATTGTGATACTCATTTTATTACAGAGTCTGGAACTGATCTTGCAATACCTCCAAAGTCTGCTGTATTTGATTTGACTCTGCTAAAAGCTTGTGTTTTAAGAGACAGTTTCAAGGCATTGTTCAATTAGTGGTAATATATTGATTTTGTGCCATGGTTCTAGTATTGGAAACTCAATAGCATGTTGGTGATCTGAGAAACACTATCTTGGTTAGTTATCAATACTAGTCTCTTAAAAACTTCCAGTAAGAAATCATTCTATTTCCTAAATGCATGATTGTAGGAAAAAATTCACAACAGATATACAGTAAAATTCCAACTTAGTTAAAAATACTACTTACCTATACCTATCTGACTTTAAAAGACACCAAAGTTTAACCAGGATTTTTGTTATTTGGAATTATTACAAGTTCTAATATTAATTTTCTTCTTGGCATTAATCACATTTCTAAATTATTTACTATTTTTAAAGAGAATGATTTACTTGTTTTAAAAGAGAAAGGTTCAAAAGAGAAAATACCAGTTATCTATTTCTGCAGGTTGATTTGTTTACCACATCTTTAGAATACCGGTATCTTAACCTCAGTATCTATGCATGGGAACATTAGTAAGAAGTGTGACCATAGACCTTTAAAGCAATTGTTGGGTTTTCTGTTGCTGACCAGCTTCAGCACTGCCAGACTTCAAATTACCAGTCTATGTTAACTGAAATATCTTTAGAAAGATATGTGATTTGAGGAACAGCTTTTTGTGTTGTATAAAGGTGTTTTTTGTTTTGTTTTGTTTTGTTTTTTGAGGGGAAATAAACAAAGCGGAGATACCTCCCAAGGAATGTACACTTTCTTATCATAAATACAAAGAGACACAAATTCATACCATTAAGGACTCTCTTTTCATTCTCCATTTTTTAAGAAAGTTCTTGTGTAATAAGGCCCAAGTCTGTTGACACACACTTATCTCTCTCTTATTCATTTTGCCCTGTTAAATAAGAGGAAAAGGGAGAAGCTTAAGTAAATGCAAAGATCTTAATGAGAAGACACATCCTGCAAACACAATGTCAAGTAGCCTGATACCCCCAGCGTTCTGAACGAGGGCTTAGCCTCCGAGTGTTCCACAGTTAGCGTTATATTGTTAGTATACACTTCCCTTTACCCCTCCACTTTTATGTCACTATTTTTGTTTGTTTGTTTGTTTGTTTGTTACCCACTGTGCTGGTTACCAATTTATCACCTCTCAGTTCTAAATTCTCCCTTCACAGCCTGCTTTATAAAGATGCATATGGGCCCAGTGGATATTTTTCTTCACCAGCTGGCATGATGTCAATTTGTCAGGAGACAGAATTGGAGAGACATCAGGAAGAAGAGATCTCTTTTCTGGTATCAGAGTGGTTTATTTGCCTGGTTCCTAGAGAGGGTACTTTTTTCCCACCTCTGCTCAAACTAAATGATTTTCTCCACTGCAAAGTGCCAGGAGAGTGCAGTTTTCGCTGTGTGTTTTCTCTAGGTCTTACATCAAGGAGAAGTTGTCTTCTGACCATAATAGTATGAAACTAGAAATCAACAACAGGAGGAAGGCTAGAAGATTTACAAATATGTGGAAACTAAACAACACATTTCTGAACAACCAATGGGTCAAAGAAGACCTCAAAAGAGAAATCAAGTGGTATCTTGAAACAAATGAAAATGCAAACACAGCATGCCAAAACTTATGGGATACTGCAAAAACAATTAGAAAAGGGAAGTATAGTGATAAGTGTATATATTAAGAAAAATTCTCAAATAAATAACCTAACTTTATACCTCGAGAAACTAGAAAAGAACAAAATAAGCCCAAAGTTATCAGAAGAAAGGAAATAACAAATATTAGAATGAAGTGAAATGAAGACCATAAAAGCAACAGAAAATATCAAGAAAACTAAGAGCTGTTTTTTAAAAAGGATAAACAAGATTGACAAACCTTTAACTAGACAAAGAAAAAAAAAGACAAAAATACATAAAATGAGAAATGAAAGAAGAGACATTACAGTTCGTATCAGAAATATGATCATAAGAGACTACTATGAACAACCATATGCTAAAAAATTGTATAACCTGGAAGAAAGGGATGCATTTCTAGAAGCATACAACCTACTAAAACTGAATCATGAAAAAATAGAAAATACGAACAATAATGAGTAAAGTGATTGAATTAATAATCAAAACCTCCCAACAAAGAAAAACTCAGGACCAGGTGGCTTCACTGGTGAATTCTACCAAACACTTAAAGAAGGGTTAATGCCAGCTCTTCTCAAATTCTTCTAAAAAACTCAAGGGGAGGAAACATCCTTGGACTTATGCTATGAAGTCAGCATTACCCTTATGCCAAGCCAGATAATGACACTGTAAGAAGAGAAACCTACAGACCAATATCCCTGATGAATAAAGATACAAAAAATATCAACAAAATATTAACACACTGAATTCAATCACACATTAAAAGGATTATACACCATGTTCACGTGGGATTTACCCCTGAGATTCAAGGATGGTTCCACATCATGCAAGTCAGTAAATGTTCTACACCATATGAATAGATGAAGGATAAAAATCATATGATCATTTGATCTTATGACCAAAGCAGAAAAAACCTTTGACAAAATACAACCCATTCATGATAAAAACCCTCAAAAATTTAGCGATGAAAGAAGCATATGTCAACATAATAAAGGCCATATACAAAAAGCCCACAGCTACCATCATGGTTAATGGTGAAAGGTTGAAAGCTTTTCCTCTAAGATCAGGAACAAGACAAGGGTGCCCACTTCTGACCATTCTTATTCAACATAGTGGCCCCAGTTTATCACCTTGACTTGTGTCCCACACCCTTTGTCTGGTAACTTTGGAGTTCCTTCTGTAAAGGTGCATGGCAACTTTGACCAGTAGGAAGAGGTTCCATTCTTAGCAAGATGTCCCATTTCTGAACCTAGACTTTTTAAGGCTTTGGGTATACCTGCTTCTTTCTGTGGCTCTTCCACTGCTATGAGAGCATAACTGGGTCCTGGGGGATGAAAGGCACATGAAACAGTTATGTCATCCCAGTCACCCCAGGAGATCTTCATCCACATCAAAGGACAGCCAGCCAAGCCCCCAGGAGTAGAACAAGCCTAAGCAAGATCAGCAGAACCTCTTTCAACTCACCCCAGGCATCTCAGTTATGGATGCTTGCTGTTGTATGTTACTTGTTGCTTCTTTTTTTCCATACAACATGATTGTAGTGATAGACCACAAGCATAGATAGACTTAGGATTGCTTATTTAGTTTGTATAATATTGATGTTTCTTTGGTTTTAGCGAATACTTATTTTCAAATTCTAACTTAATCATGTTATAGTCAGAAGAACTATATACTACTCTGTGAAATATTATTTCTCTGAAATTCCTTGAGACATTCTTGGTGGTGCAGCCTATTTTAATATTTGGAAATAGTCCATGTGTACTCAAAATAAATGTATATCACCTTGTAGGTTGTTTGGTATATAGCTAGTCAATCATTTAAATTTTGTTCTTCAAATCTTCAGCATCCTTTTTTATGTTATATTTATGAGATTAATCATTTCATGACAGAATTCTATTAAAATTTTCCATTCTGATATAGGTTTGCCATTTTCTTATTTTATCTTTGTTAGGTTTTAGTTTGTGCACTTAAAGGCAAAGTTGTTAGGTGAATAAAACATTGCTTTACTGTAGAGACATTAGGTTTATTTAGCTTAAAATGTACCTGATGTAGCTCTATTCATTCCTTTATTTTTAACCTTCTGGTGAATTTTTAAATGATTAATGTATAGAAAATTCATAGTTACTGTATTTTTAGAAATTCAAACTGATAGATACTATATTTTTAAGAGGTGAATTTAATAATGTATAAATTCTTGTTTCAGAGAATCTTTCACTGTGTTTTATTCTCATGTTAAACCTGCTTTTTCTTTGCTTCTAGTTTTGTCCACATTCTTACTTCTACTGAACTTTATCAAGTTTTCTCCCCACCATGTTTTATTTCCTGTTCCAAAGATATAAAAATATTTATATTCATTTAATGGTTACTTTTAAGTTGGGTCCTTTCCTAGGGAACTATCTTTTCTTTTGAATGAAAACTTATCCCTTCATAAAAACAAAGACTTTCTAGAAACTTTATCTCTGTTGAATTCTAATCCTGAGCATTCTGATTATTACTGAAATTTGGTTCAATCTTTAATTTAAAGTATACATAAGTTAGATTTTTTAAATCATATTTGTAGTTAATTAAATTTGCCAATAGATTATATAGGCTCCTATGGGGAGGCTGTCATGTATTTGAGCTTGGGCTTGACATGGAGGGTAGATATTCCATTTGAACTGGGTGAGCTTGGATAGACTTTAGCTGGATTAAACACCCAGGGCCCTTTGCCTTGTGTGTAAAAACATTCCATGGACTCTACCTAGAATTGTCTGTGGAGGGCAGTGTTATCCTTCTGCAACCACTAAAAGAATATAAATATTTATTATACCAGGAGTACAGCAGTAGACCACAACCCTCCCCGTGGTACAAGCAGCAAGTCACAGTTTTAACATATTCAACCTTAAACAAACATCATATACGTGTGTGGGTGCCTGTGTGTATGTGTGTTGGAGGAGCTGTTGTGGTGAGGGTTTGGTAGGGGAATTTATGCACACTTTTTTTTTACACCAAGGACACAGAACACCTCCCAGAAGGAGATGTCTTAGTGCATGCCAATCATACCACATCTTTCTATAGGTACAATCAAGCAAAATTACACAATATGATTTGCTGAGCCTGTTCTGAAAACTGTGGGACTTGTGTGCTTGAAAAGATCTTCATGGTGGGAGGAAACACTGCATCTAAGTTGACTGATAGAAAGAAAAGAGATTCTGAAATGATCCCCAGCTTTTTGGGAGTCATGCCAGATGACTTGGAAGACTGTCCAGGACTTTGGGCACAGAGCAGCATCTCCACCCGGAATCTGGCTCTTCAGCCCTGAATTTGGAGCAAGCTGTCTCCTCCCTCTAAGTGTATACCATGTGGGCCTGGGATAGAAACCATGTGGTTGCCATGAACTCCTTCGTGGTAATGAGTGGGTGTGCCCCTGCCTGAACTCTCATTCCATTCATGAACAAGATGATACTCATGTTTCCTAGAGACAAAGCTCAAGCCATGGGTCCAAAATCCAGTTTCAATGGGAGGCATTTTAGCCAAGACAGCCTCAGAGAGCATTGTCAGGGGAAGAACCCACACACAGCTACTTAACGAGGCAGAGAGGCAAGTCTAGGCAGAAGCAGACTGAGGAAAGAGCTTAGAAAGCCCATGGAGTGACAATTGGAAGGAGGATGAGTTTCCAGGGGAATAAAGAGCATAAGGTCAGGGTATCCCATGTGATAGGGCTGAGGATCCCCATACATTTTTCCTAGTGCAGAGAATTCAGAGTATTCACTTTTAAGGGGACTGTGGAAGGCTGTGCAGGTGGGTATGTTGACCAAGCAGGAGATCTCCTGTTTGTGGAATCAGCCACAGCTCAGGGTAATGTGAAAATGTGTTTGGCTCCAGCCCCTTGGGTGTGCCATTGGGAATCAACAGTGCCTACTCTACTTTTCCTGAATTCATGTGATGTTCTGTAGTTTATCAAAAGGCTAACAACCACATGAATTCCTTTTTATAATTGTAATGATTCTGGTTATTCTTCTGTTGTTTGGTTATTAAATTCAGAACAAAATGTTTACAATTTAGGAGCATGAAAGTTCTGTTTACTGCCAGGAAACATGTTTCTGAAATAACATTGTGATAAGGAAAGCAACATATTCACATTCTGACTCAATACATTCCTGAGGACTTTTGTAAAAAAAAATTCCTGAGGACTTTTGGTCAAGGTGGCAGCATAGGCAGACATGGCTTGCCTCTTTGCACAACCACATCAAAATTACAACTAAAATATAGAGCAACCATCACTCAGAACTGTCAGAAATCAAGTTGAATGGAAGACCGACAACTACAGAATTAAAGAACCACATCCACCCAAACTGAGCCAGCAACTTGGTGCCATATCTGAGGTCCCATCAAATGGCTAATACGTGTGATCGGCCATGGAGATCCCCAGAGACTCTGCCCCACCCAACTTAGGGGCCCATCCAAGCTCCTTTTCCATATGAATGGCTGGTCTTGGTTCACGCTTCACAACCTCCTAAATCCTATCAAGCAACCAATAGCTGGCTTCAGTGAACCCCAGGCCAGGCACTAGCAGCAGCCAACTTAGATTCACAGCTTGGATTTGTTTGGGAACCTCTAAGCCCAGCACAAGCATCAGCCATCTCAAATGGCTTTATAGCACAGGCAGGGTGCCTGGGCAAAACACAGGTGGGGGCTGACTTTGGTCTGCACCACTCAGGAAACCCCAGGACCAGCGTACCCAGCGGACGGCTACAGACCACACTGAAGCACCACCACCCTGCCCCTGCACAGCTGATCCTCCACAGAAGGCAGAGGTTGGTGGTCAGTGGTCATAGCCAGTCCTTGCAGCTGACTGACCTGGGTAAATTCTTCCTATTGATTTGTCAACAGCAATCAAGGTTCAACTATAAGAGGATGGTGTACTCAGCCCACACAAAGGGCACACCTCGAATACCCAGCTTCAGTGATCGGAGAGGATGTGCTACTGGACCCTACAGGACACCTACTATATTAGGCCATGCTACCAAGACAGAGAGTCATAGCAACTCTAACTAATACATAGAAAAAAAACACAGGAAGGCTGTCAAAACGAGGAAACAAAGAAACATGGTCTAAATGAAAGAATAGATCAAAACTCTAGAAAAAGAGCTAAATAAAATGGAGATAAGCAACCTATCAGATGCAGAGTTTAAAACACTGTTATAAGGATGCTCAAGGAACTTAGTGAGAACCTCAACAGCATAAAAAAATCCAGTCAGAAACAAAGGACACATTAATTGAAATAAAGAACAATTTACAAGGAAACAACGCTAGAGTGGATGGAGCCGAGAATCAAATCAATGGTATGGAACACAAGGAACCAAAAAACCAACCAATCAGAACAACAAGAAGAAAAAAGAATCCAAAAAAACAAGAAATAGTATAAGGAGCCTCTGGGACAACTTCAGCCATTCCAACATTTGCATCATAGGGGTGTGGGGAGGAGAAGAGAAAGAGCAAGAAATTGGAAATCTATTTGGAAAACTAACGAAAGAAAACTTCTCTCATTTGATGAAGGAAATAGACATGCAAGTCCAGGAAGCACAGAGAGTCCCAAACAAGATGGATGCAAAGAGGCCCACTCCAAGACAAATCATAATTAAAATGCCAAAGGTTAAAGATAAAGAGAGAATCTTTAAAGCAGCAAGAGAAGTTAGTTACATACAGGGGAGCTCTCATAAGACCATCAGGTGATTTCTGAAAAGAAATTTTGCAGGCTAAAAGGGATTGGTAAGAAATATACAAAGTCATGCAAAGCAGGGACCTACAGTCAAGATTGCTCTACCCAGCAAAACTGTCATTTAGAATTGAAGGGCAGATAAAGAGCTTCCCAGACAAGGAAAAAGAGTTCATCATCACCAATTTCATTATTATATGAAATATTAAAGGGTCTTATTTAAGAAAAATAAGATCAAAACTATGAACAATAAAATGGCAAAATATACATATCTATCAACAACTGAATCTAAAAAAAAACCAAACAAACAAACTAAGAAAACAAGAAGAATGGAGACAGAATCATGGATATGGAAAGCATTTTGATGGTCACCGGATGGGAGGGGTTTGGGGAGAATGGGTGAAGAGGTGACGGGACTGAGCACAAAGAAGTAGTTACAGAATAGTCATGAGGATGTAAAGTACAGTATAGGAAATGGAGTAGCCAAGGAACTTACCAGCATGACCTACGGGCATGAACAATGGTGGGGGGACTGCCTGAGGGTGTGGGGGTACTGGGCAGAGGGGGACAAAGGAGGAAAAATCAGGACTGTAACAGCATAATCAATAAAATATAATTTTAAAAAATCCTGAAAAGCATCTTTCATTTCTAAAATTTGGAGAGCCTGAGAGCCAAAGGTGGGAACAATAAACACATGCATTTCTGTAAGTGTGTTTGGTAAACATTCTCAAAGTCAGAAAAATTTTATTCAGAATTCCCCCAAGTTATTGTGCAGAAAAGTAAAGAACTTCAAAACAGTGCAGGTTTGGAAGTTAATTCTCAATATTCTTAGTTCTTTACAACCTATTAGCAAATTTCAGCTTATTCCTATACTCAGTTTCTGGCTGAAAAACTGTAGAACAGTTGCATAATTTTTAAAACTTATGTTTTAAATCAATGCTTTCATCTTTACAACATTAAATACCAGATGTCCAAAAAACATCCAAATAGTCCATTAATTTGCAAGATAGTTTCTCCACAGATGGTTGGCATTCAATTCCTAAAGACTTATTCCTAATTTCATGATAGAAAAAAGAAAAAGAAAAAGAATAAGCATCCCCACCTCAAACAAAACAGAAAAAGTCAATGAACTTACCTTTGAAAAATTTGAAGCACGTAACCTAGAAACACGTTTTATCCACTGGTCTCCTTATTTAGAAGAAAATGCTTCACATTTTTTCCCTGGTCTCTACTGCATCTCTAGAATTTGCTTTAACTGTTTTGACTTCTGCTTTCAGAGAAGGTTATGATCTCAGTTCTGTTGACCCTGCCAAAAAATCACATTCACGTGATTACTCTTGGACTACTTGTCTCCCTCTTTTTTAAATTGAATAATCATATTTACTTATAAATCTAGGAATCCAAACCTTTTATCTTCATTGTCATTGTTTCAGCTGAGCTAATATAAGCATGAGAATTTCAGAATAAACATATTTTTACCAAGTTGCAGACCAAAGAAAAAGTTACAAACATTTTTGAAGGTCTATTTTCCCAACAGTTTATCCTACTTAGAAATCAATACTATCTCACAGGTAATGTTCATTCTATGTGCTCAAAAAGCAACAATTTTATGTAACCTTTTTTGTTAGAACTTGCCTCAGTCTTTGATAGTAATCTCTTGTTACACATTTCTGATTGCACAATAACATTCCTTTGTTCTACTCTCCATTAGCTACTGACCCTGTAGAAGAGACAAGAAACATGCCTCTTATTTGAGCTTCATTTAACACTTCAAGGTCTAATGAAGGATTTTGAACAAAAAACCAAAATACAGCAAATTACTTAGCTAAATAAGCAATCACTCTGATATAGAAATGGCATCATGGAACAGTTAATTAAAAACCAGACAAACTATTTCATACTTGTACAGAGATTAAAGGTGAATCTGCCCTGGCTGGTGTGGCTCAGTGGGTTGAGTGCCAGCCTGCGAACTGAAAGTTTGCTGGTTCAATTCCCAGTTATGACATATGCCTGGGTTGCAGACCAGGTTCCCAGTTGGGGGCGTCAACAAATCAATATTTCTCTTGCACGTCAATGGTTCTCTCCCTCTCTTTCTCCCTCCGTTCCCCTATCTTGAAAAAAATAAATAAAATCTTTTTTAAAAAAGGTAATAATCTATTCTGTAATTAATACTTTATATTCATTTTATTAATTTTTTCAACATGGCTTTAAAATCATTTTGCTAATGAAAATTGGTATATCCACTATATAGTAAGAAGTAACATGAAGGAAAATTGACCCAGGATTACAATCCTACTCCTTCTACACTAATTCATGAACCAAGTGGCCAAACAGTGCCTTGCCACGATATCATATTCCCCACACCCACCCCTTGCAATGTTAAACTACCTAACACTGCCCAGGAATGGATTTTCAGTTTTGTCACTTAAATCCATTATCTTGTTTCCTTACTATCTTGCCAAACTGGTTTCCTTCCACTTACATTTCTGAGACATAATGCGGCAGGCTAACAGGTCTATATCGTTTGTATAAACAGAGTTGGGTCTTATAGTTGAAGCAGAGGACGAAAAGCCAATAGTGTCTTTTTTTTATTTTTACTTTTTTCTTTTCGGAGTATTGCCTGAACTCTTTGTAATCCCTAGGAGGTTGTGTAACCCCACTGCTTTTTCTGTGGTTTATGGAGTGCTCACTTTCTGGTATTGTACAGCAGCCGCCCAACAATTGCAAGTCAAAAGACTAGCAGTTTGGAAAGAAAATGAGAGCATGGCACATTCTTTGCCTACCTTGCCAATCAGAAAACACAGTTAACTCAGTAACAATTAACGTTGTCTCCAGAGTTGGGCTCTTGGAGTAGATATTTTGAGTGAGAGTGTGGGTAGATGAAGCCCTGCAGTTCAATTTCAGAGGATTTCTTTCAATCTCACCAGAGTTGTGGAAATGGGAAAGTCTCTACCCATGCCTCAAATTATCTGTCTATCCATAAAGTCCAGAATTTCATGTTTTTTAAAGAAGATTTACTTAATTTATTTATAGAGGGAGGGGAGAGAGGGAGAAAGAGAGGGAGAGAAACATATTGATGGGTAGTTGCCTCTCATGCATCCCCTACTGGAGACCTGGCCCGCAATCCAAGCATGTGCCCTGACTGGGAATGGAACCAGCGACTCTTTGGTTCGCAGGCCGGCACCCAGTCCACTGAGCCACACCAACCAGGGCCAGAATTTCATGTTTTAAATGTGAGTCATTCGGTCACTGATTTACAGGGTAAGGCTAATCTAGAAATAACTGTCAAGACAAACTTGGTGAATAACCAGGGGTAAAAGGTGTATATGTCTTTTCATTCACATGGAGCCAGTCTCCGTGGAGTAGTGGCATTTATACCTGGTTTCCTGGCTGTAGCATAGCATAAAAAGCAACCTTAGAGAGGAAATTGAATACTTGTAAACTTTTCTCTATTACGTCCAGATGATTGTGGATCATATCAAAATTTTAAGCACTGCCTTTAAACCATGAGAAAGGAAACAGTTTCACTAGAGAAAAGCTCTTCCCTGCACAGAGCTCTAAATGCCTGATTGATATCATCACCTGGGAAATCAGGATTTTTTTCATTCCTGTTTCTCATTTCATTAGTTTCAAACATTTTCTAATCTCCCTCGAGACTTACTCTTTGACCCAGGCATTGTGTAAATATATTATTTCATTTCCAAGTGCTAGAGATTTTCCTGTTATCTTTTGGTTATTGATTACTACTTTAATTCTATTATGATTAGAACATTTACTTTGTCAGATTTTTTATGACTTGTCTTATGACCCAAGATATGACCTGTCTTGGTGAATATTCCAAATGTACTTGAAAAGAGATACATTCTGCTATTGAGTGATGGGAGTATTATATAAATGTCTGTTAGATTTAGTTGGCTAATGTTGTTCAGTTTTTCTATGTAGTTTTTGGTTTTTCTGTCTACTAGTTCTGTTGATTACTGAGAGAGGAGTATTGAAGATTCTAACAAAAAACTAGAGACTTTTCTTTTTCCTTTCAGATCTAATAGATTTTGCCTCATGTAATTGGAAGCTGTGGTATTGGGTACATACATATTTAGGACTGCAGTGTCTTCTTGGTGAATTGGCCTTTTTACCATTATGCAATGTCCATCTTTATCTCTAGTAAATTTCTGTGCTCTGAAGTCCGCTCTGTCTGCTGTTAATATGAGGATGAACCCCCTCCCCCAAAAACCAGAATTATCATTTGGAGGGTGAGTCCCTTCTGGAACAGGCTTCCCCTACTACATGAGTGTCCGAGGAACCCATCTGTATCAGTGTACCAGTTGGTGTGGTTGTGTTTGGCTTTGGCAGATTTTTTTGAAAACTCTTTAACCTCTTTGCCCATTTCCCGATGGGTGATTTACAAGCACACCCGCCCACACTGAGCTGAGTGTTCAGCAGTTTTTGACCAAAAATGGCATGACCCCCCTGCCCCACCCTCCTTATACATGCAACCTCGCCCTGAGCAACTTCTTTTTTTGTTTGAAAGAAGTCCTCAAAGGGAAACATTTTGCTGATGTGGCAGAGGTGAAACAAAAAACAGCAGAAGCACTAAAAGGCATCAAAATTGATGAGTTCAAAAACTTTTTTGAGCAGTGGAAAAAAGGTCGCAGTAGGTGAATTGCATCAGATTCATCTTTGAAGGTGACTGAAGTTTAAACATGTAAGAATAAATACACACATTTTTATAAATAAATTCAGTTTTTTGGGGAATTTATTTATCCATTCCCTACTATCTTTGATCAACTGACCAGACAACTTCCCCATCATTTCAAAATTCTTTGTTATAATCAAATTTCCAGTGGGCACGTTAATCAGAACACGCTATAGTTCATTTGCTTTGATTCTTTGTTTTCACATGCATAAATGATTTACAGATGGTTGAGCCACTTAGTTCTTAGTACTGTGACCTTTTGCAAATATTCACAGACCGATGAACTTCAAACAGAAGTTGGCTTCTGATTTGGGATAGATATAGCAAATTATGTCAGATCAATGTTTCTAACACCACAACTACAAAAAAGCCAGGTAAATTTCTCATTAGAAACCATGCAAGCCAATAGCCAGTGGAGCCACATCATTACAGCACAGTAAGAAATTAGTTCATTTTGATTTCTAATAAACTATCTACCAAAAAATGAAGACAAAATAAACACTTCAGAAAAACAAAACTAGCTGAGAGAATTTGACACCCAGCAAAAATAAATTGTTAAGGATACATAATGTCAACCTTAGAGTAGCAGTAAAAAAATATGTATACCTAGAGAAGTACATAAATAAATAAAGCTAATATGCCAATAGGATAAAGTAGAATACTAAAGGTATAAAATGGTACCTCTAATGCAATGATTTCAATAATTAAACAAAACACAAAATAATCAGAACACACTCCAACTATAAAAGATTCCCAGACTTAATTTTAAAAGTGTGACATAAATATATGCTGTCAACAAAAAGAAAGCCTACTTTATTTTATTTTTATTTATTTATTGATTTTAAGAGAAGGAGGGAGGGAGAGAGAAATTTGTTCCACATCATTTACGCATTCACTGGTTGATTCTTGTATGTGCCTTGACCAGTGATCGAACCTGTAACCTTGGTGTGTCTGGATGATGCTCCAACCAACTGAGCTACCCAGACAGGGCAAAAGAAAGCCCACTTTAAAGTTAAAGATCAAAAGATGAAAACTAAAACAATGAGAAAAGATATACCATGGAAACAGGAAAGCTGGAGGGCTATATTAATAAGATATAAACTATGACAGGAATTATTGCCAGAGATAAGGAAGAATATTCCCTAATAACATAGGGGTTAATTCATTAAAAGACATAAAAAACTTAAATGTATCCAGAACTAATAGCAAAGCTTGAAAATTCAGGGATGAAAAACAGAACTGAAAAAGCCAATTAATGAGTCCATAGTTATAGTGGGAGATTTCAACATTTATATCTCAATAATTAATAAAAACCACTGTTCGCTCTGGCCCAATAACCCATAAGTAAATTGCCCTATAATACATTCTGTTATAGTCTGTGGAGTTGCCTGCTTCGGTCTGAAGCTGTGTTCTCATTCTGGGGATCATTACACCTTTATTCCGCCTTAGGACATGCGCATTATGGTTGAACTATTTCTCTGCTTTGAAAACTCTCATTAAGACTTCTACCTGGAGGGCAACTGTGATTGCAGTTCTCTTGGCCGGAGAGCACGGAATGCAAAATTAGCTTTTTAAACTGTTCAAATGCTGATTAGGTTACCTGAACTAACAAGTCAGTCCAAAGATTCAGAACTCCCAAGTAGACATAAAAGGCTTTTCTCTGACTAAGCTGTTCACTTCTTTACTATTTAAAGATAGTAGGGTTTTTTTGTTGTTGTGGCATTTTTTTTTTTATAAAGATAGTGTTTTATATTTTGAAACCAGCCACTTTTTTTTCCCCAGAGGCCTAGGAGACAACATTTGTAAATATTAGAATCCCTCGGTAAGATATCTGTTTATAATATGATACAATTAGCCCAGCTGAAGGGCAATAGAAAAGCAATGTGGCCAAGAGTAATCGATGTTGACATGCTGATTCAGGTGAGCTAATCAGGGTTTGAACATTTTAAAAAGCAAATTCCGGATTCCTTTCTGCTTCTCATATTACATCTTCCTTCCCTACCTTTTAAAAAAATTCTCAGGATAATGCTCAAGATAAAATACAGGAAATCCCATTACCTAGCTTTCCCTTCCTCCCCCAACATCACCCTCACACCCAGGTTGGCCTCAAGGTGGTAAAATCACCAAGCCATTGGTTTAAAGGTGCACTGTTCTGACGTAAGAGGGGTGATTTGGACAACTTGGGAGATGTTTTCAGTTGTCACACTCAGGTGCAATTGCTATTCTGCTGCTGAAAATTCTGATACACAGGACAGCTTCTCCTTCTTCCTCCCATCCCCAACAAGAAATTATTCAACACAAAATGCCAATTGTGCCAATGTTGAGAAACTCCCATCTGGTATAAGAGTAAATTAGCCTAGTATCATTAAAATTACTATTCATAATCACTGTGATGTTTTCTTTCATCTAGTCCTTTGAATAAATTATTCTTACCTTCTACTTTAAGCACTGCAAGCATTTACTCAATGTACATTTTGTATATCCAAATTAGGCCATCTTTGACAGCTGAAGTTCCGGAGGGATATTGCAGCAGCTAGAAGTGGGGGTTCCCCCTGAGAAGTGTGGGATCTAAACCTCAAGCTGGGATACCCAGCCTACAACAACAGAGCCTGAAAGGAGCCCAGATAATATCCGGCTGTGAAAAGCAGCAGCGTTTCTGTCTGCAAGGGAGAAACGGCTGGAGACACAGAGAGCCTCTTAAAGAGCCAACACACAAAATTTTGTTTGTGTGTTGGTAAAGGGAAGGTTCTGGTATAGAGAGGGCTCCGGTATAGGGAGGGCAGAATGGACAAGAGACACTTGAGGAGAGTCTGGGCCTGGTGGCTAGAAGAGGAAAATTGAAGGAACAGCTACAAGGATCCCGGTGCTGAGTCATTCTCCATACAGCAGGAGCCATCTTCCTCAGGCAGAGCACACCTCTCCAAATGGCAGCAGCCTGAGGGGAAGCAATAGCCCCACCTGCAGGCATTACTCTGCCCCTACCCTGAAGAGCTTAAGCCCAACTGCTGATTACAGCTTGATTAGATTAACAACTGATCAGTTGCATGGCTGATTAGCTTAGCAACTAAAGCAGCAAATACAAAGAAGCAGTCAAAATGGGAAGACAAAGAAACAGTCCCCCAAATGAAAGAACAAGAGAATTCTCCAGAAGAACGTGGTGAAATTGAGGCAAGCAATTTATCAGATAGTTTAGAGTCATGATTATAAGGATACTCAAAACCATGAAAAAAAGGACAGAAATGATAAAAAATGATCAGTCAGAAATAAAGGATGCAATATCTGAAATAAATAATACACTGGAAGGAATAAAGAATAGGTTAGATGAAGCAGAGGACTGAATTAGTGTTTTGGAAGACAAGGTAGGAAAAAACATCCAGGCAGAGTAGCAAAAGGAAAAAAATTTTTTTTTAAATGAGGAGAGCTTAAGAAACATTTTGGATAACAATGTCCACATCATGGGAATAGCAGAAGAGAGTGAGCAAGGTGCCAAGAACTTGTTTGAAGAAATAATGACTGAAAACCTCCCTAATCTGGTGAAAGAAAAGTTCATACAAGCCCAGAAAACTCAGATTCCCAAACAAGTTGGACCCAAAGAGGCATACACTGAGATACATCATAGTTAAAATGACAAGGCTTAAAAACAAGGAGAGAATCCTAAAAGCTGCAAGAGAAAAGCAGGTAGTAACCTACAAGGGAGCATAAATTAGATTGGCATCTGATTACTCAACAGAAACATTTCAGGACAGAAGGGAGTGGCATGAAATATTCAAAGCGATGTAAAGCTAGGACCTACAACCAAGGCTACTTTACACAGCAAGACTATCACTTAAAATTGAAGAAGAAATATGGAGCTTCCCAGACAACAAAAAGCAGAAGGAGTTTCTTAACACCAAACCAGTGCTGCAACAAATGTTAAAGGGCTTGCTTTAAGAAGAAGAAGAAGAAAAAGAGAAAGAAAAAAACATAGAGGGAAACAGCATAACAGTAAAATGGCACTATATATGTATCTATCAATAATCCCCTTAAATGTAAATGGCTTAAATGCTCTGACCAAAAGACACAGGTTAGCTGAATGGATAAGAAAAGAAGACCCATATATATACTGTCTACAAGAGACCCATCTCAGATCAAAAGATACACACAGACTAAAAATAAAGGGTTGGAAAAAGATATTTTATGCAAATGGAAAATTAAAAAAAGCTGGGGTAGCAGTACTTATATCTAACAAAATAGACTTTAAAATCAAGGCTATTGGAAGAGACAGGAAGGACACTACATAATGATAAAGGGAACAATCCAACAAGAGGCTATAACCCTAGTAAACATTTATGTACCCAACATAGGAGCACCTAAATATGTAAAGTGAATCTTGATGGACATAAAGGGAGAGATCAAGAGAAATACAGTCATAGTTGGGGATTTTAACACCCCATTAACTTCAATGGATAGGTCTTCCAGGCAGAAAATCAACAAGGAGACAGCAGTCTTAAATGACACACAGGATCAAATGGATTTAATTGATATCTTCAGAGCATATCACCCCAAAGCAACAGAATATATATACTTTTCAAGTGCACATGGAATGTTTTTGAGGGTAGACAACACGTTAGGACACAAAGCAAGTTTCAATAAATTTAAGAAGACTGACATCATATCAAGCATCTTCTCTGACCACAATGTTATGAAACTAGAAAGCAATCACAAGAAGAACACAGAAAAACACGCAAAGACATGGAAGCTAAATAACATGTTATTAAACATAGAATGGGTCAACAATGAGATCAAGGAAGAAATCAAAAGATACCTGAAACAAATGAAAATGAGGATACAACAACCCAGAATCTGTAGGACACTGGACAAGCAATCCTAAAAGAAAAATTCATAGCATCTCAAAAAACAAGAAAAAGCTCAAATGAGCAATCTAACTTCTCACCTAAAGGAATGTGGACAAGAAACACAAACAAAACCCAAATAATAAAAATCAGAGCAGAAATAAATGAAATAGAGTCTAAAAAAAGATATAAAAAAATCAATGAATCCAGATTCTTTGAAAAAGATAGAATTGGACAGAAAGAGCTGATTCTTTGAAAAAATAAACAAGATTGACAAACCTTTAACCATGTTCATCAAGAAAAAAAGAGAAAGGACCCAAATAAATAAAATCAGAAATGAAAGAGGAGAAATAACAACTGACACCAAAGAAATACAAAGGATTGTGAGAAAATATTATGAACAATTATATGCCAACCAACTGGACAACTGGGATGAAATGGATCAATTCCTACAAACATACAACCCTCCAAAAATAAATCAGGAAGAATCAGGAATTTGAATAGACAGATTCCTAATGAAATTGAAGCAGTAATAAAAAAAAAGACTCCCAAAAAGCAAAAGCCCTGGACCAGATGGCTTCACAGGTGAATTTTACCAAACATTCTGAGAAGAACTTAACACCTTTTCAAAGTATTTCATAAAATTCAAGAGGAAGGAAGGCTCTCAAACTCATTTTATGAGGCCAGCATTATCCTAATTCCAAAACCAGATGAAGATACTACAAAGAAAGAAAATTACAGGCCAATATCCCTGATGAACATTGATGCTAAAAGCTTCAACAAAATATTAGCAAACCAAATACAGCAATGCACCAAAAAAATCATACATCATGATCAAGAGGGATTTATTCCATGAATGCAACGTTGATACAACATTCACAAATCAATAAATGTGATTTACCACATAAACAAAATGAAGAATAAAACCCACATGATCAAATCAATAGATGCAGAAAAAGCTTTTGATTAAATCCAGAACCTATTTATGATAAAAACTCTCAGCAAAGTGGGAATAGAGGGAACATACCTCAACATAATACAGGCCACATATGACAAACCCACTGCCAGCATCATGCTCAATAGGGAAAAATTATAAGTGTTCCCCTTAAGATCAGGAACAAGACAGGGATGTCTGCTATCACCTCTCATATTCAACTAGTACTGGAAGTCTTAGCCACAGCAATCAGACAAGAAGGAGAAATAAAGGACATCTAAATTGAAAAAAAGGAAGTAGAACTGTCTTTATTTGTAGATGGCATGATACTGTACATAGAGATCCCCAAAGATTACACCAAAAAACTACTAGAACTGATAAATGAATTCAGCAAAGCAGCAAGATACAAGATTAATATCCAGAAATCTGTTTCATTCTTATATGCTGATAATGAACTAACAGAAAGGGAAATCAAGAAAACAGTCTCATTCACAATTGCTTCAAAAAGAATAAAATACCTCAGAATAAACCTAACCAAGAATGTAAAAGACATGGAAAATCATAAGACACTGAAGAAAGAAATTGAAGAAAATACAAATAAGTGGAAGGACATACTGCATTCATGGATAGGAAGAATTAACATCATTAAATGCCCATACTATCCAAAGCACAATTCCTATCCTATAGATTCAACACAATTCCTATCAAGATTCCAATGATGTATTTCACAGAACTAGAACAAATATTTCAAAAATTTATATGGAACCACAAAAGGCCCTGCATAGCAACAGCGACCCAGAGAAAGAAGAACAAAATTGGAGGAATCACTCTACCTAGTATCAAACTCTAACTACAAGGCCATAGTATTAAAACAGACTGGTACTGGCATAAAACAGACACATAGATCAACAGAACAGAATAGAGAGCCCAGAAATAAACCCACACCTTTGTAGTTAATTAATATCTGACAGAGGAAGCAAGCCCATGCAATGGGTAAAAGACAGTTTATTCGATAAATGGTGTTGGGAAAATTGGACAGATAACGTGCAGAAAAATAAAGCTAGACTACCATTTTATACCACACACAAGAATAAATTAAAAAATGGATCAAAGACTTATTAAATGTTAGGCCCCAAACCATAAAAATCCTTGAAGAAGACAAAGGCAGCAAAATCTTGGACATTGCTCATTGAAATTTTTTTATTGCCTCTATCTCCCCAGGCAAGGGAAACAAAAGAAAAAATAAACAAAGGGGACTACATCAAACTAAAAAGTTTTTGCACAGCAAAGGAAATCATCAACAAAATAAAAAGCCCACAGAATGGGAGAACATAGAGGACTTTGTTTCTGGGGAGGAGGACCCAGAGCACTTTTGTTTGGGGATTTGGTCCTTTCAGCCCCCTCCCCCGCAACTCCCCACCACCCCCGCCCCCACCTGCGCCTCTCTGCTTTCCTGAGCTGTGGGCTGCGAGGGAGGAGCAGCGTCATCTTGCAACCCCCTCAGCTGGGCCCCAGGGTTATTCGATGCAGGCCTGGCAAGGCTCCCCATGCTAGACCCGGGCTCACGACTAGGCAGCCTCCACCCACCGGCCTAGCCTACATTTAGCATATCATGTGATCTGGCCCCTCAGTATGAAGGAAATACTTTCTGAATAAGAGTAAATGGGATCAATGTGACTCTAGAAACAAACGGATGAATTAATATCCATATGAAAAGGAAAACAATGAAGAATATTAACACTTTTGAAAACAGAATGTTAATGCTTGATGGGATTCGGGCAGTCAGAGTCAAAACAGAGCTTTTGGAATCTGAACTAGGGTAAAGCTTCAGGAGAAGCAGCCAGCAATGTTTAATGAAATGAGTTGTGACAACTACTTACAGAATATGGTAATTTTTACTTAGTAATTTGTAGTATTTTAAATCAACTCTTCTTTAAAATTGG